GATTACTTTTATACACACTTATTAATACATATATATATATATAATATATCAATATTAACGAGTCGGAAAGACTTATAAATAAGATGCTTGTTAAATGTTTTCCAATTATTAAAATCAATTAATTTTCCGTATTTATGAGGACGTTTAAAATTTATGTCCCCGACTAGGGTGATATATATCTTTCAAAGTTTAAACCAGTACAGTACACCAGACGTTCAAATTTCATCCCGGCGCGACGCCAGGGCGTGGTTGCACTAGAAATAATACAATATGCCATATATTTCAGTTCAGGGGCAATCTTATTAACGTTTGACGTTTAACCTGCATCTAACTAGATCTATTTATACATCAAATTTTCTTTCTTAAACATTTTTCATTAATTAGTCTTGTTTTGTTGAAGGTTATTTTTAATATGCTCTCGAAAAATTATAAAACGGCAAACTCCATCAAGTCAAACACTAACTAAAAAAAATTATTAAAATATGTTAAAGTTAAAACTACTTCTAGCGAGTAGTTGATGAACTTAATTCACTGAAATAATATATGCAGAGCATCAGAAATCGTTGTTTATATTTTATATATTTATAAAGAAATGCCAAAAGGTCATGATAACTTATTGATAATATAAGGCAATTAGTCACTGCCAATTAATGCTTGCTTTATAATGAAAAACAAAATCACTTTACGCTAAATTACTTATATTTATATTTATCATTTCAATTTTATTTATTTATTTATTTACTTACAATTATTATTATATTACATAATTAAACCATAATATTATACTTAATAATATGTATATATTAAAATTTCAATAAATTTATTATTAATTTCAGTATTATATCACTAATCATTAATTAAATTTGTTTTTTTAACTTATTATATTATGTATAAAATAAGTAATAATAAAGAAATAAACATCTCCAAGTTAAATATATTTTTTTTTTATTAAATGATAAAAATAATAAAAAATATCTATCTCATATCGTTAAAAATATATATGTATATATAATACTTATCTAACTTGATATATAGGGTTTTTTTCTACATATTTATAACATCTATCTATAAATATGTGTGTATTAGTGTATTATTGGCTGATAACAATTTTAATAACCATCTTGTAATAATAAATTTACCGAAACAAAAATGATAAAATTATAATTTATGTATTGAGTCATCAAATGATTTAGCTGTATATACACTGTAGTGTATAGTGTACCGATCAAAAAGATTACGAAACTTATTAACAAAAAAACATCTTAATACTAAGTAGCAATTTATTATTAATTTATATTTATCAATATATGTATGTATAATTTAATTTTTTTTTTTTTATTTTTCTTAAATTTTTTTATAAATTTATTTCGTCATAAATATAACAGTATATGTATACCGATATAGTAAATTGAAGAGAAAAAAAAAACCATATATATTAGAATTGATAATTACTTTTACTTAAAATGATTTTAATAAAATAAAATAGAAATAGTAATAATTAAATTCGTATAAATTATTGTACATATATGTTGGATAAATATTAAATAATAGAGCTTAAAAAGTATATGTATATTTTAAAACAAACTAGCAAGCCAACAAACGATTGACTGTATATAAAGTAGCTTAGTAAGTACAGGAAAAGGATTTACAAATTGGATTAGAATGTCAGTAACATGAAAGGGGTTGCGTGTAAAACAACCGACCACCAACATTATTCTCCTAAGTCGTCTATAAGTCTATTCAAGTCGACTCAAGTCACTGTTTTGTCTCTATCATCTCTTGTACCTCGTATTATTACCTATAGGTATGTAATATTTATGCTTTTACCTTTTAACATTTATTCCCTTTATACCCTTTACTGTACTCTTAATATACAAACTCTACCATCATCAGTCAGTCCTTCATTCCAAACATCGTTTTTTTATTTTTTTTAAAATATGAGTACCCCCACGGAAAAAAAATATATATCCTAAAATATATGCTGGGAATATATTCTAGAATATACTCTAGAATATATACTGGGATATACGAAAATTCGCCAAAAAATATATGCTATCTCACTTACTTTATTATTAAAATAATAATACTAAGTATCAATAATCAATATACTTTTAATTATTTAAATCAGCGCATAATTAGCAAATAAATTTGTTTATGCATCTAAAAATAAAACTTAATTTTAAATTTAAAATAATTTTTGAAAGAAGAAAATTTATTGTAAAACCCTAAGACTCGCAATTAACTTACGACTTTTACGGATAATCCTAATGCAGATTATAGATCTCACGCCGTTCTGTCAAAACTTGTCACTTTTAATTGTATATATACATATATATCAGTAGTGTTTTGGATAGTCGATCCGTCTCCTGAGACATATTGTATGTATTTTCTTATATATATTTCTAAAACCTTCACTGTATATTTTTAATCCTTTTCATTTTTAATCTTTCCATCTACACATATATTCTGTGTGTATATAAAATACTGTGAATAATTATTCATGTATTGTTCAAAATTTATAGTATTTTATTCATAAATGAGAATCGAAAAAAAAACTTATCACAATAATACCTACATCGTATGTCGCAGTGCTTTATTAACTCCAGAATAACGTTATACCTATATTGTTTAACATATTACATTTCATTCCACTAAACAAAAATAATTTCAAACAATATATAAGATAGCATATTTATGTATCTTTAAAATATCATTTTACATAAAAATTAAATGTGCCATATCTCAGACGAAAGGAAAAAAAAAAAAAACTATACCCATCACCTGTTACAAATAGTCTTTTTTTTTATATTTTATAAAAAGGTAAAAAGATCAATTTAATACATCAATTTAATATTTTTTCATTCTTTTTGTGATTTATCGATCTAATAGATATTTATAAAACGTTAAATTATATACCATTTTATAACAGTTTTACGATGAGGTGAATCAACACGTAGCGTTAATACGTTCAAAGCGTGGGAGAAAATAATTATTGTGATTATTGTTATTAAATTTAACAGAATTGATAAATAAAGTAAAAATGTATTAATATATATATATATATATATATAGTATATCCATATGCATGTATTTTTAATTCAATAGACATCATCATTATCATTGTAATGAATAATGTATTTAATAGAGTTACTTTTAAGTAGATATATGACTTTTATACTGACTTTAAGAACTCTTGAATTGTATACCATACAAATAAATAGATACTCATATATATAATTGTATACTTGTATATATAAAGGGTAGTCGCTCAACCATGAAACGCTGAACTAAACGCTCGACAATGACTTAATATTATTATATTATAAACGGTTTGCGCATACTCAGTTGATATAATAATAATAAAATATGGTGTATATTGGTATAATATAACCTTACACGGTTTAGTTGAGCTCCAAAGATTTTTCTCCCTCTTAAATATATGTATATATATATATATATATATTTAATTTTTTAACAGTAAAGAGTCTATGTCAATGCTGTTCACAATTCCATCAGATTTATCCCATGCAAACAGTCAAGAAATATGAGAATAAAAAAAAATAATAGTAAAAAGCATGATGGTGGATGAGGTAGTGGTATAGTATACAGTAGTAGGAACATCCCCTTTATTATTCTCTTTATTCCCCTATTAACTATTATCCGAATCCACACACTGATTTCATATTATATATTGTATATATTTATTAAATAGGAATATAATAGGATAGATATATACTGTCTTCTAATAGATATTAACGTGAAACTAAATGAGTGGGGCAAATAATGTGTCAAAGGGAGCATCACCAACTTGACTCATTTATTTTCGAATTTAAAGATCTTTTTCAACGCATCTGCCCTATACATCTGACCCTATATAATATATATATATATATATATATATATATTCCATATGCATGTATTTTTAATTCAATAGACATCATCATTATCATTGTAATGAATAATGTATTTAATAGAGTTACTTTTAAGTAGATATATGACTTTTATACTGACATTTTGGGCCATTAATCCTTCCCAAATGACAGCCATTTTGTATCTAAACTGGATTGTCAACGATTATCAACGATTCATTAACTACCAGGGTTGATTCAGGACACTTAATAGACTCTAGCTATTATCTAAATAATATTTATCACACCTCGATTATTTTTTTTTTAATATTTTAAAATCTTGTCTTAAATGAATCCAAGCATGATTGATATGAAATTTATTTTCAGTTGACGTATATAAAATAACCAATTAGGATAATCATTACGTCGGTATGCATACCAAATATACATCTGTACATAATATTAATAGTATTTATTGTTTTAATAGCAATTGTTCCTAATGGTCCTGTCGTTCTTATGTCGATTTTCTCCTAAAATATATACTATTATACACAGTAGTGTGTATTTGATCGTGTCGCTCACTAGAGTAGTATAATAGTGATGGTGATGCATATTATATATATATATATAAATGAATGAGAATGAGAATGAGAATGAAAATGAAAATGGAGGGTGAAATAGGGTGGTGTTTAATTCGCGGGCAACAAATTCGATTGGCAGAAAAGCAAGTGAGGGTTACGCCCACGGATAAAACGGCTGTCCCAACCACCAGAAGCACCATAAGCACAAGAAGCACAGCATTGGTTGAGCACAACGGTGTTGGTACTGGAACTGGTCCACCAGGTTTCGCGGGGGCGGTACACCACGTCGAGGTCGCGGGGTTTTCGCTACTGGTGACTACCAACTCATAATCAGTGCCGTTTACGCGACTGAACCGGCCACAACAGTAATACATTTATCGCTAATTATACATACATAATTATATTATATCGATTTATCCATCACATTATACTAATTTCATCAACAATACACCTTTACATATTGTATTTACCATGTATTATCTATATATTTTAAGAGTGTTTAATAATAATAATAACATATAACGATAAACTACTCCTTCATACACTACTAGTTGCAATAAATTTTTCACGAATGCCACCGGATAGAGGTTAACAATATTAATAATAAAAGTAAAAGTTGAAAAAAAAAAAAAAAAAAAAAAAAAAAAAGAAAGAAAATTAACCTGTGGTATGAGTGATAATAAACCCGAAACAAATGTCTATCAGGATAATACTACCGTAAATATTAGTAATACAAGTGATAATAATAATGATGATTGTTGTGATGATGCTCTTGGCAGTGGTCTCGGATGTGCCAGTGCAAGTGGATGTGTTGAATCAGTAACATCAGTAACATCAGTAGTCTATGGTTGTTCTGGTTCAGTTGTTGATGGTGCAATAGTTGATGGTGTAAGTTGTGGCATTATTGGTGTAAGTATTTCAGAAAACAGTGAAATGGCAAGTGGAGCTACTTCTGCTACTGTGTCTAATCCAAAACCTCGCAGTGGTAAAATAAATTTTAGTGTCGACGCGTTGTTGAGTGGTACTAAAAAATCATCCGTTAACAGAAAAAATGTTTGTAACAGTGATGATAATGATAATAATTTATCTTCTATCGAAGTATCTGATAAAAATTTCTCTAATCAACAATTACTGCTCCATAATCAAGACGAGGCTCGAAGATATAGGGATTTACTTATTATAGAACAGGAACGTCAAAGAAGTTTACAAAGCCGTCAATTACTCGCTCGTTTGAGTCCTTTAACCCAACACAATAATATTTCTGGATTTTCTACTTTTCATCACCATCATCATCATCATCAACAACAACAACAACAACAACAACAACAACATCATCATCATCATCATCATCACCACCAACAAAATACTACTACTACTACTACTACTACTACTAATAATAATAATAATAACAATAGTAGTAGTAGCAGTGACAATAATCATTACCATAATAATGTTAATAATTCTTGTGGATCAGATTTGGCTGTTGTAACATCTAGATCAAATAATATTGTTAAAGATTTGTCTTCATCATCAAAGTGCAGAAATACAGTAGTAGAAAACCAAGATTGTTGTTCATCGCCCGTCGGTACCACTAGCAGTGGTGATAGTGCTGCTGCTGCTGCTATTAATACTTCTGTTTCTGCTGTTATTCGAATGACAACTGCAGCTACAGACGAACGATTATCCATTGGAAATGATAATTTTAATAATTATGAAACTGAAAAGCAATCACACATCAGTAGTGTTGATAGTAACAATCATAATCATAATAAAGAATTTAGTGAGGACGATGATAACGATAGGGAAGGAGAAGATCAGGAGGAAGACGATAAAGATGATGAAAGAAGAAGAAGAACAAAAAGAAGAAAAAGAAGAGACTCTCCGAGTTTGGGAGTTCGTTTAGAAACAGATATATCAGAGAAAAGTGACTCGGAAGCACCACAATCATTGGTTGAAGATAGAGAAGAAAAAGAAGATAATTCTGGTGAGAATGATTTGGTGATAAATAATTCAATAAATGATAGACTGATGGAGACTCATCAATGCCCCAGTCCAGGATCAAGATCTGAGGATCTCAATGTTATGGATTCAGATGATCCTGATGATATGTTAGATCATGATCATATAATAAATCACAATAATGAAAATGAGCTTGATAATGATAATGATAATGACAATGATAAAGAAATTGAGCTACACGATGAGGAAGATGACGAGGAGGAAGAAGAGGGGGATGATGAGGGGGATAATAATAAGCGTATTATAAAAAAAGAAAAATCAACACCAGTGGTGCCACAACCAATTCATCCTGGCGTTCAAAGACAATCTGGTATTACAAATGCTGTAGCAGCGGCTGCGGCAGCAGCAGCCGCGGCAACAGGATCTTACTTGGGAACTCCACCAACAGCATCCGGATGGTCACCCGCGGGATTTCCGCATTCCCTCGCCAGTTTCGCGTGGCTACCCCCACCTCCACATCCTCATAATCCGCATGGACATCTGTACACGCCCCAAGGTGGACCCACTAGTCCAAACGGTGAGAACCGCCCCGGATTACCATTCAATATCTATATATATACATTTATATACATATATATATATATATATATAACAACAACAGCAATAGCAATAGCAACAATAAAAGTTCGGAATATCGTATATACAAGACAGAGAGAGAAAGATGGATACAGATCACAACCGCAATCCGCAATCCGCAATGAGATTACATGGGGATTATTTGTGGAATGCTCGTTATCGTTGACGTTGACATTTATAGGAGCTTCCACGCGCGTGTGATGATGCGAATCGATCAGAAAGCAGTTAGTCTATACTCACATACACACATACACACACACACACACACACACACACACTAACGATTCAACAGAGTAGCATTACTCGGTTAACTCTGATGATGACAATTGACAGACAGCACAAGTAAATGGATCCGTTTCGCTCATCAGTCACTTGTAATTTATATACATATACATATATACTATAACTATTCTATATATCAAAGTAATTATCCTTTATCGGGATATATCCACAATCATAAACTCTTTTTAATCTTTCGTTGTAAATAATTATCACAATTATCTTTTTCGATATGGTAATATAATTAAATTAAGAATACGATTGAGATATAGGATATATATAGTACTCATGCCACGTCCGTTTATCATTTAAGCTATAGAAACTTTAAAAAGAAATAAACTATCTGCACGTTATAAACAATTTCTAGAAAGAAATCTCGTATTAAATATAAAACACTTGGCACTAACTTATTCAGTATAGACTAAATGAAACTACTCTATTATTTTATAATAAGTATACTTTATCCATTATCTTGGTGATATCCCAAAATTATACATAAATTAAAATTACTCAATAATATAATTTTAATTATTATAAACATGATTAATAAAATATTAATAGCGCGTGTGAAAATACAATTAGCAGTGTATAATGATAATCGTGCAATAACACCTATTAGAAATGTCAAATATTCGAGATTCGAGAATTTAATCATGTATATACAAGAGTAAAATAAATCTAAAACAGGTATTCCTTCAATTGCTATCTATATAATAAAGAGAAATTAAAAAAAAAAAAAAAAAAAAAAAAAAAAAAGTAGTGTCACATAAAGTAATGTTTGTTTGTTTGTTTGTGCATGTATACTATATTATGGGTGTTTATGTGGTTGTGTATAGGTAAAGAAATAAAGAATCGGTTATGCAAGACACAACCTCGTGTAATTTGTATCCCGGATGAATCTCGCAACTCGATCGTGCTCGTGTACCCACGACGTTTCTCTTGCCCGGTAATTAACGGGAATTAATTAGCGCAAGGGAAAAACACTCGTCGCTTGGTGATCCTGCTGCACCGGCTAGGCAGTTGTGCCACGCTCTCAATGGATTCATACTCTGGTATACTCAGTACTCTATACTTAAATGCCTAACTTTAAACCATTATAATAGTTATAATCCACACCATATCAATAAATCAATTAATATATACTATATACACCAATATATTAAATAAATAATAAATAAAAATAAAAAAGTATACAGGCTGAATGGTTAAATGGTTGAATGTTGAGATTTAACGATGTCGCGGTGTGACAGATAGGCCGACATCGCGCCTTACTTCTTTTCACCCATCGGGCAGACGTTAATTGGCGGTCTCTACTTTGTAATAATTGTTACCGATTCAGGAATACCCGTATTACAACTACTGTCCACGCCAGTCCAGTTTCTCCTTTTCTTCTATATATATATATATATTATATATAAATGTATATAATTGTTATTATTTATCATTATCATCCTGTTAGTTGTATATTTTGTTTTTTTGTTTAATTTAAGAAGATCTGAGATTACCAGGACCTGGACCAGGACCGGTGAGATGTACCTTGAGGAAACACAAACCAAATCGAAAGCCAAGAACTCCGTTTACCACCCAACAACTTTTATCTCTTGAAAAAAAGTTTAGAGAAAAGCAGTATCTGACAATTGCCGAGAGAGCTGAATTTTCATCATCACTCCATTTAACTGAAACACAGGTAATATATATAATATAATGACAATTATTGTTATGTATTGTTTTATTATCGTTTATATTAATTTTTTAAGGTAAAAATATGGTTTCAAAATCGGCGGGCTAAAGCGAAACGACTGCAAGAGGCGGAAATAGAAAAGCTGAGATTATCTGCAAGACCATTATTACATCCAAGTTTTAGCACGGGTCTGATGTTCTCAGCTGGAGTCGGTCCACCCGGCACTCCCGGTGGTGTACCACCCTTTATCGCAGCAGCAATGGCCAGACACAGCCACGCAGCCGCGGCAACAGCTGCCATGTTCATGACTCCGCCTGGACATCGACCTTGAATAATAATCATAATAATAATAATAATAATTATTATTATTATTATTATTATTATTATTATTATTCTTCTTCGCCTATCATTTATCAATATTAAGTCATCCCCATCATCATCATCATCATCACCACCACCACCATCGTTCATTATCATTTACTGATTATTCATTTTTCATTTATAAACCGTGTATTATTATTATTATTATTATTATTATTATTATTATTAAAATTTTGTATATAGTGTAAATACAATATTAAAATATATTATTAAAATTTTGCGTGAAATCAACACGCATCTTTCTACCTCTATTCTATATACTTATACATAAATTTAATTCAATTTAATATAAACGAAAAAAAAATAAAATACAATAATAGTTGTCACACACACTTACTATTAAAATTTCAATAATATAAAAAACTAAAAAATTTTCTTTTTCCATTATTATTATTTTTTGTTAATTACGCATCTTTATAAACATGATTAAATAATTAAATTTGTATTATGGTATATCGTAATGTAGATGATTAATATACGTGTAGATGGTTATAGGATCTTTTTTATAAACACAGCACATTATTAATTAAATTAAATTGAATAAACAAAAAAACATTACTATAAATATAAAATTAATTTGTATATTAGAACCGCGTCTTTTGTTATTCTGATATTTAACATTGCAATGTAAGCAATGAAAATAGCAGGGGTTTTATTTAAAATATTCATTTAACCAGCGCTATTATTATTATTATTAATAATATTATACTAATCATTTTTAATTATTTAAGTTTTTATCTAAATAGTGATGATCTGGTGATATATGTACAGTCTCTCTGATAGATACAACAATATCTACAGTCGATGAAATAAAAAAAAAAAAAAAAAACTCTGACATATTATCTATAATTCAAGTAGATTTACCATTACTAAAATATTATTTTTATAAATAAAGAAAAAAAAAATAACAAATTGTAGATTACACTCTTATTACATGAGTTCAGTAGTCATTATTTATCGATAATGTATTATATAAATATTATATTAGTTTATTGAAAAGAAATTTCGAGTGTCAAATGGCAAACGACATATATATTCGCATTCTTTCTAACTAAATTTTATTGAATTTATTTTTTTTTATTATTGATATTATTTTTTAGTTTTCTTGTGGACTTTAAATCGGCTCAATCAAGTTTATCCAAATTAATTGGTCGTAAATTAAGTGCCGTGCCCGTTCCTATAGCCAGTAGTAGGCTATGACAGTAATATAAGCAGTATAAGCAGTATAAGCAGTATAAACCGTATAAACAGTATAAGCAGAGTACTGCTTGGATCCTAATAATGCTCAGAGGACACTTAATAATTAACAGCGAGTTTTAAGCGAGAAAAGATGAATTGATTATTAGCGAGGGAGAAGGCAAAGACCAACAACCAAAATCTCCAATCTATAGATATCTATATTATCTGTACACAGTGAGAAATATATTATATAATAATAATAATAATCATCATAAAGTGATGATCTTGGCATATCAGGGTTAATTAAAAAAAATGTGATGAAAAGAATGTTAAACCATCTTAAAGTTGGAACTCGGAACACGGGTAATTAGCTGATATTTTAATAGGTAAAAAATTATTCTCTCGTTATATCCGTATATGTACGTATACCGGTTGAGACTTGAAGCAATAAAGCTTCGCAGACTTAAAACTTATGGCGTAAGGCATCATCAAGTAGTAATCACTGCTCTGTTTTCTGTTTGATGACAGCAGGTTAATATAATAGCAGTATTGATCACAATCAAATACCCCCTCATCAAAATACCATCAATATTATTTAAATAAAAACCAAAAATTATTATATCACACTAATAGCAAATCTACATATATATATATATATATTTTTTTTTATATATTTGCAAATACTAAATTTTTTTTTTAATTTCGAATGAAACAACCCTCTAAATGAATAATTATTTCATAATAATATTACAGAAAATTAAATATACAATAATAATAATAATAGTATAGTATTGAGTATATATAATATCGATAAAATAATATGTAAAGTTAAAACGGTGAAAAAAATTCCAACGTTATCTCTCTGATGAAGTAGAAATTAGTATAGTTGGCAAGTGACAACTTGCTACTGAATAACACAAACCATACTAACCAGCACTGACCACTATAACCAGTAACCAGAAGCCCTTGGTTATTAACATATTGCTTAATATTTTTATTATAAATTATAATCTTGGTGATAATTACACAAATAAACAGTTACTAAATTATACCATGCAGACGTACCGATCCTCACAAGGTTTATTTTAATTTACAGAATAAACTACTAAGGGAGTATATTAATAGTGATCGCTTGAGTAGTCAGATTATTCGAACAACCGTAAGTGTTGTATGTGTTGAATTCCCGGGTGTTGTTGTTAAGTAAATTGGATCCTTAACCGGTTTTTGTTTCTGTGTTTCTGCGTTTCTGCGTTATTTCTGTTTCTGATTTTATTCAGGCCACTGTCTTACTTCAACTCCATGCAAACTATATATATATTTCATCGAAATCATTATCATTATATTCATTATTGTTCCCTCCGCATTAAATCAATTTATTCGAAATCTTATCTTTTATATGTATAATAAAGGATTTTTAAAAACAATATATATATATATATATATATATATATAAGACTAGTTTAAAACTATATCGACTAGTATTTTTATTTTTTTAAAACTCCTATATTGAAATATTTTCAGGGGAATGAGACGATAAAATGACTGGAAAAAAAAACCCCTTAATATTTTCAAACAAGGTTTTTTGGTAAAAACACTGTTATAATTTGGTTGAAACAATGTCAGAACCAATTAAAAATATTATTGGGAGCAAAATTTTTAAATGAGTTGGATAGATTCATCAAAAATTATTAAATTACCATTTTAAATAGATATAATAGAGAGCACATTATCATCTCCTGCTGACAAACCCTTATTAATAAATACAATAAGTACAACTATTTCATCTTGTCGACAACTTGTCATTGTTTACTCCAATCCATTTATCGAATAAACATGCGACGAGCCTTTGATTGTTTAATTAAACTATCAACACTCACTTTCTTCTTTTTCTTTTCTTTTCTTTTATCTTTTTTTTTTTTATTTTTATTCATTACATATTTATTTATTTCAGCCTTATTAACACACTATAAACCAAACAACCAAAGAAACAATAGACGATGTACATCTATATATGCGGACATGTATTGTCAGTATATAGTATATATAATCAAATAACTGATGACAAAATATAAACCGTCCAACAGCCAACAGCAGTTAATTACTATATCATCGGTTCGCAATATTAATTTCCGTAAACTCTGTAATAATATAAGCCCATGTAATATTAATATATTTTATATATGTATATAAATCGATTGGTTGGTGAGGATTATTCGTAAATGGAGCAATAATGCAACAGTACGTATTACCGTAGACCGGTTACTGCTGTGAATCCCCGCGCACATATAAATATAAATATTGAGTCTCTTTGTTGGAAGAGGAATCCGATGAGTCCGAGAATGAAAACGAGAGCAATGAAAGAGGAGAGGGTATAGTAATAGGGTTGGTTGGTTGGTTGGTTGGTGCTATTGGCAACGGATGAGATGGGAGACATGGACACAGAAGACCGGCGTTGTCTGCTACCGCGCGTATACCGTTGCCGGGGTGATGCGCAACTCAAAGATCCAAAGAGGGTTACCTTGTTAGGATGTTCAATATCAAGAGGGAAGACATTACACATTGTGTTATATCTATATAGAAGACAGCCAGAGACCAGAGAGGAGTAGTAGTAGTAGTAGAGGAAGAGTAAACGTCTGTGAATGATAGGAGTACCGGCCGGGTGGTAACAATACCCAGGAAATTACATAACTGTTGAAAATATCAACCAATACCAGAGTATATACTAGTCTAATATCATTATTATTCACTCAATAGATCCAAAAGATCATTTTTTCCTTTTCCTTTTCTATTTCCATTTTTTTCTCATTATAAATCACCAAGCTTTCTAGCTTTTTTTATCCGGTACAGTGTAAATTATTAAAAAGTTTGTCTGAATAATTAACTCATTATATAAATATTGTATGATTTTACGTATATGTATATGAATTATCCGATAGACGTTTAAACTAAACGCCTTTACATAATTTATAATTAATAATTGATAAAAGAAAAAAAAAGAGAATTTAAAAAAAAAAAAATGATAGAACTCATTGGAAAAGAGAATATAATAGTATGGTAGATAAGAATCCTTATACCCAGAGCCAGAAGCACTGTATATAGTATATAGTGTATTATATTAGTTTTGTTACCAAGGGTGTATATGTATATGTTGGAATGTATTATAAAGGGGTAGCATGAGTAAATGTTACTACTGTCAAACGGAAATTAAATATGCTTCGGTTGATAAGTTGAAGCGTCGCGTGGTGACATCTTCCCTTTCTTTATCCGCACACGCTTTCGTATCAACAACACCAGGACGAACGAGATGAGCTATTGTGTGAGCTATTTTCAAGGGAATAGAAAATCTATGAGTAGAGAGAAAATATATCATATTATACAACTATATATACCTCTTAATTTTACTTTATCACCCCAGAATAAATAATCCATTGTTATATTGCTTATATAATAAAAAAAAAAATAAATTTTTAAATTATTAAATTGACAATTTAAATGTATATATAAATAAAAAGTTATAGTATTTATTTTAATAATTATTTGTTTGTATGGATTGGATAAAAATGTATAATTAACTAAATTACAATTATTGGGGCTGATGATCATAAACTTTAAAGCTCGCAAAACCGTGAACGCTGTGAAAAATTGTTAGGTAGAGCATCAGCCGCGGCTAATAATAAACAACAGCAACAAAAGTATACTCTATATATAGTTGCGCTTAATTTAAGGATTTCACCATGCACAAAAGCTAAAGCAGTTAAACAGTTATAAGCGGCATTTGACCAGTGAAATTTGATCAAGCTAAACCAATTCTGTTGACGGCAACTGATCAACTACAATAATTATTTTTCTATGGCATGGCTAAAACAAAAGTTGTACCGAAATATTAATACCAAATAAAATTTAAAAATATAATTTTTTTTTTTTTTTCCCAATTTAAAAGATATACAGTAATGTGTATAAATAATAAGAATAATGTGGTGGTGAGGATTAGTGAGGATGCTGCTGACAAGTAAAGAGAAAATATAAGAGTAAAAGAGTAAAAGAGGGTCTATTGTTAATGATGCGTGTTGGTGCATCCTCTTTCTTTGTTGTTGATTATGTTTTTACACTGGATCGCGCGCTCACTCATCTTTTATTCTTGTAGGGGTTTTTATTAACAGGGCTTCTTATTCAACTGTGCCTTTTTCGTTTGGTTAACAATCGAATGGGGGATCAAACGGACTAAGGAGAAGGAGAAGGAGAAGGAGAAGGAGAAGGGGGAATATCGCATCTGCGGAAGGTGAGACGACGTAGTACTGGAGAAGCGCAGCCGGTACACTCGACTAATTGGCCGATAAATCAACCTTGGGCTCACTTCTACTGCTTACGGTGGACAGTTTACTGTGTGGACTCTAGACTCTATATATACGTAGACTGAGTGTCTTTAAAACGAAAAGAGAAAAGAGAGAAGAGACCACTTGAGACACACATGGTTTTATAACATATATGTGCTCATGTGGATATGTCCATGGATCCTTCTTCCTCTCGCTCCTTCTTTCCTTTCTTTATTCCAGCTCTCATCTCATTCTTATTTTTATCCTTTATTCTTTATTCTTCTTCTTCTCCTTTTACTTCTTCTTCTTCTTCTTCTTGTCCTTCGTTTCTCGCTAATGCGAACCCGCTACCGGAATTCAAAGACAACTCTTTCGCTCTCAATTAGCTCTAAATTGCGATTATTTAATTTTAACTTTTTTATTATTATTATTTTATGTATAAAAATATTATCAAGTGCATTATAATAATTATATTAGAAAATAATTCATCAATACAAAGGTATTAAAATGTATATACGAATATTATAATAAAAATAATTAATCAGAATAAGCAGGTAAACAGGTTTTCACATTGATTTTAAATTTTAAACCTAAAGCTATAAGAACGGGAGACCGAGCAAGGGATATTATATAGTATATATAGTATATATAACCATGGATTGCTATGCGGGTATACCATACTTGGGCGCGCGGAGCTAATCGCACCAAGCGAACTTGTCGGAATTAATTGGATCGGCCAATTAACGCGCACTCAACTGAAATGGTCCAAGCACGATTTAAACGCGCAATAAACCACCACAAATGAGATGAATCCATTTGCGTAGGTTGCTTATATATATAATACATTATATATGTATTTATCAATATTATTTTTATTTAGTTTAATCAGTGTTCAGTGATACACATAAATATTAAAACTACTTATTACTTATTGTTTTTTTTTTTTTGTCTATATAACATTGGTCATCAAAATAATTTCTTATGAATTTAAATATTGGAACAACGAAAACTTAATATATTACTATAAAAATTTATTTTACACAAAAAATAAGAAAAAGATTTAATAATCACTAAAATATTCTTTATATTATTATTTGAAAATATAATATATTTATTGGCTTGAATGAATTATAACTTGATAAGAAATAGATATTCCTTAATAAATTGTTTTTTTTTTTTTTTTTTTTTTTAAAAATTAATTTTAATCAATTAATTAATTGCTATAATTATTACTATCAACAATTGTATGATTATGCCATTAAAAATAACTCGCAATAATGAAACAATACAAAATTACTATAATAAAATTACGATTAAACAACTCTAAATTTACTTGTAAAAACCGCCGATTGATCTAATGATTTATTTATATTAAAGAATATTATTGTTGATAGCGCTGTAATATAATTACACAATTTTTCTAGTTTTTCTTACCGTAAATCGACAAGATCGATTTGTCAATTTGTCGCTAAAATAATAAGATAATCATATTATTCTAATCATTCTATACATATGCTGTAATGTAAGAAAACCTATTTATCCGAGAAATCGTCTCCACAGGCAGATGGCGCCAATTGTTGGATTAATTGAAAAAACTTTTAAATTTAAATTTATCAGCTCGGGTCCAGAATTCCAGATTATCTGAATTAAATCTAAAAAAATTTATTTAAAAAAAATTTAATAGTTGGAAAAAATAAAAAAAGTTTTGACAATTTTCAGATTCCATCCATATCAATTTAATTAAAATTTTAAAATTTAACTTACGAATAACTATATAGAGAATCTAATCCAAAAAATAAAATCTAACAATAACTAATAAATAAATATTTTAATAAGTTTTTGCGTTATTGTACTCGCAATTTTTTAATATATTAATAAAAACAACCATCATTACAATTAATTAATATAAATTTAGTTAAAACTTGTTCTACGGTTAAAAAAAAATCTTTTTTCTATTAACTTTGTGTTATTTAGCATTGATAAACTTAACTTTAATAAAGAAAAATATATATAAATAAGAAATAGTGAATAGTGCAAGCTCTTAAACCAACTTATCGCTATTTATGACTATACAAATCCTTTAAATAAATTTAAAAGTGTGCCATAATTATAGAAAAATTAACACACGAATATTGTTATTAATTATTATTATTATTATTATTATTATTACTATTGAAGAATATATGTACAAAATTATGTGTAATAAAACAAAAATATACACATTCAATAAAATTAATCACACTGAAAAGTTAAATATTATTATGTTTACATCGTAAATTTTTTTTACGCAAAAGTATTTTATGTAAACTTATTACGATAATAGTTTTATTATTATCGAAGATGATGATGATGATGATGATGATGATGATAATTAAAAGAAATAAGATACGTGACGCATAGATTCTTATATAAAATAAATTAGTTATACCTTATCATCACAAATCACAAAATATTGGAATGATTATTTTACTTTTAAATATTAAATATCGGCAAATTGTTGAAAATATTTAACAGAAAAAAAAATTTATATATTTAACTAGGCATACTTTGAGATTAAGAAAAATATCCGTAACAGTAAAAAATTTCTTACTTACATATAATTATTATTTCAAGTTGTCAATACATTCATCTAACAGTAAATAAACGGAAAAAAGAAATGATTAAAGAATTTTAATCCACTGATGATGAAAAAATATTATTAAATCATTTATCTTTTAATTGACAAAGGGTTGGATAATGTTTTTTTTTTTTTTTTTGTTTTTTTTTTTTTTTTTTTTTTTTTTTTTAAAGCTTTTAAGAAACAAGTTAATAATACGCACGTATCAATCGTATCCACGAATTGTTAAAAGTTATACAGTTTAATATTAGCTATCCACCAACTTGTTAATGTAAGCAGAAAATTTTTAAATTAAACTTTTAGTGATTTAAAAAGTTTTTTAATTTTTATTTAATACCATTAATTACATTTATAATTATCACGTCGCGATAATCAATTTAATAACGAAATACGTGGATACGTTTTGTTATTTATTATAAAATAATAATAAAAATAACCAAAGGTAATGATGATAATTATTATAAAAATGTTAATGCTCGCGGAAATGCAAATGACAACAATAAATGTAATTATTAATTAAATGGATTTTAATGAAAAATAATATATATTAGCTTAAAAAATTGTGTGATCATGTGTTTAGTGTGTGATAATGAATATGTATGTTATTTTACGGGAGACAGGGATGAATAGATGATGATGTTGAAAAATTAATATTTATTTTTTCTTGTTTTTGTTGGCTTGATTTTTAGTTTTAGCTGCAGCTGTCATTTTGGCATTCTTCTTCTTGGGCTCATCATCTTCGTCTTCTTCAACTTCTGTATCCTGTGTTGCACATTAAAAATACGTATGTATATCATTTACAATTTTATAATTTTATAAATTTTACATATCAATATCGATTATTAATTTTTTTTTTTTCGATAAAAATATCAATAACTTGATTTTTTTTTTAAATACTAACGCCAAGATGGAAAAATGCCAAATCTACCATTACAATTAAAATAAATATTATTATTATTATTATTATTAAAAAAATAAACAAAACATTAATAAATTTTCGAATAAAGTAATTTATTTGATGAAAAAAAAAAAAATTAACACTGAAGATATAGAAAGAAACATAAATATTATAATGGACTTTAATCGCGTCTTTCATAAGTTGATACGGTATTAATAATAAAATATAATATCGTATTGGCCATTAGTGATATAAATTTTCGAATAAAGTAATTTATTTGATGAAAAAAAAAAAAAAATTAACACTGAAGATATAGAAAGAAACATAAATATTATAATGGACTTTAATCGCGTCTTTCATAAGTTGATACGGTATTAATAATAAAATATAATATCGTATTGGCCATTAGTGATATAATTATTATCGTATTTAAAATATTGTGAAAATTTTTAAGTAATTAACACTGTGTTATTAAGTGCAAGTTTGTACATGGTAAAACTTTTTCTAATGGTATGTGATATCGTTGTCACCTGACTTAACTTTTTACTTGTCTATTGCTTCATCCATCTTGGCGCGTTTGGTGCCATTTTTTTTACCATCCGCGGTTTGCTTTCGTTTCTTTTGTGATGCCTGAAATTTTTATTCTATTTTATATAAAACCCCGTTAGATATTTACTTTTTTTATACTATTATCAACTTTGTTGATTTAATTAATTATACTTAATAGAAATTTAACATTGATAAGACACAATTGTTTTCAACAAGTTGGCAAATTTCAAATTCATTTTATTTTTATTATTTATAATAAAAATTAATTATTCGTCTCTTACCTTTTCCTCATCCTCATCTTCCATGTTTTCCTCGTCCATTTCCTCCTCCAAGTCGTCAAATTCTTCCATGTGTGTCCCTGTATACATAAATAATAAATAATAAATAATAGAGTATAGATAAAAAATATAAACATTTGTATTTAGATGAAAAATAAAAATACATACCCAACAAATTGTGTCCCACTATGTGAAGAGGTCCACTACCTTTAACTAATGAAAAAGTAACTGGTGGATCAGGAAAACTAAGATCCAAAATAATTTGTTCGGTTTTTCCTCTTTCCAATAAAGCAATTGGTATTTTTATTAATCCTTTCAATCCCATTGCTTCGACTTGAAGAACATTGAGTTCACCGGGTTTAGCTTCTGGTCCCAATAAAGCCTTAAAAATAAATAAATTATTTCATTTTCAATTAACCAGTATACGAGTAAAATAATTGCCGCGCAAATCACAGTTACTCCAATAGGATTTGACAATAAAAGAGGAAGAAAAAAAAAAAAAAAAAAAAACAATTAAATAAAAAACTATATAACCTCTTTACCGTGGCGTCACCACATTGTCGTGTTTTTGTAAAAAAAAAAAAAAAATTAATACTAACATTACAATTTTTAATAATTTAAATTTAATTAAAAAATTACTTTTTTAATAATATGTTAATTATTATACATGCAATATTTATATACCTACTGTTAAAATTTTAAAACTATAATAAAATAATTACCATTTTGATGATGAGTTTTTGGTCAACTCCAAAATGCTGGTTACCTCCATCCGCATCATCATTTTTATGCTCAGGATCCCAAACTTCACTGGCATTAGCTCCTTGAAGAGTTATTCCTATACAAATAATAAAAATTATAAAATTAATAAATCATTGTAATTAATTAAACTAACATAAAATAAACAATGTTAAATATAACAAAAAAAAAAAAAAAAAAAAAAAAAAAAAAAAAAAAAAAAAAATAATTGTTTTAAATATTTCTAACTATTATCATGATTAACATTTAAATAATAAATAATTATATGAATTAATGGTATGAATAAATTACTCGAAAAAATAATAAAGATTAAAAATTTTTAAAGATATATAATTGTAGCAGTAGCCGATACATCACAATGGCCGAAAATCAACCGGCGTCCTGTTTATTTGATTGCGAAAAATTTTTATAAATATTAATATATAAGTAAATATTAAAAATATAAAATAAAATAATATATTAATTGTAATAGTATTTTTTAATAATAATTACCGTAAAGATATTCTTCTGCCATGACGATTGTAATAATATAAACGGATTTTCAGTAGAAAAAAAGTAAGGGATGCTCCAAAAGCCGAACAGTAAAGAGTAGTGAAGACTGTAGAAGCGACTGAAGAGCCAAGAGCCTGAAGAGCAAGAGAATGTACGTTCGAGCGGTTGAAACTAAACTCACACACACTTGTCCAGGTAGTCGACTTGCATACACATATATAACTAGTTTAACTAGTTTGGTAGTGTGATGGGTTTACAGCTTGGCATTGGCAAAGGAAATTGTAATACAAAAGAGAAAAAAGAATTATTATATTAACAACCGACGCTACAGAGACTACAGAGGTACGAGGACGCGCGCGCAAATATCTACGCACTCTACAGTATACTCTCTTTAAATACACACTATACCAATTAACAGAATTACCAACATAAACTATTGCTAACATTGTGTTAACATTGCACGTGTCACTGTCACTGGCCAATCAGATTTATTAACAAATTGTACCACTTGACCAGATTGGTCGAAAGTACACATACTTACATACTCAAACCCAACTATCCAACGATTCAGCCATAAGACCTTTCAAAATTTTTACTATTTTTTTAATTAAAATATTATCATAAACTTTTTTTCTATAAATATAAATATTTATATTTTTACTTGAATCAAAATTTAAAAAATTTTATAATTTTTTTTTTTTTTTTTATTTCGCCTCCTCTCAGCGCGCTTATATATCAATTAAAATTTGTTTCTATGGGACGATAAATATTTTATATTCTTTCATAATATTCTTTCCTCGAAGCGCTTCGAAAAGCCTTCGAACACCTTCGAACAGCAGCAGCACCGGCACATATATAGTTTTTTAGTTTTTTTAGTTTTTTTAGTTGCTTACTCTCTATACTCTATACGCTCTACTCTTATCTCTCTTCTACTATATAATAAATTTGACTGGTATGTGTCCAATATGTATGTAATAATATTATATACATACTTGGTATTACATGAAAAATAATAAAAATCAAAAAAAAAATATCTGAGACAAAGTTGGATATTATTTTTAAATAAAGTATTATTGTTATTCTAAAGAAAAAAAAAAAAAAAAAAAAATAGCATAAATATATTGATGCACAATTTTTTTATATTATTTTATTGAGGATAGTAATAATAATAATAATAATAGTAGTAGTAATAAACAAGTGTACTCGTGTCGGCTTTATTTAACATAAACTTTTTAATGCAATTTAATGAATTATTGGGGAATACTCCCCTAAACAATTGCTATAATATCTTAATTAATATTTTTTTCTAAAAATATAATTGAAATAATAAATAATAAATTATTTTTAACAAGTACTATTAATTGAAAAAAATAATTGTTAATAATTAAGTTATTTAAAAATGAAGTTAATACGTAAAATATCATGTTGGTTATTATTTGGTATATTATTGTACCAGTGTACTGAGTTGACATTTGCTGATGAACATAATCATATTGTAAGTACAAATAATTGATAATAATAATTTTTAAAAATTATTTAATAATAAATAATATTATTACATTTAAATAAATATAGTATGAAGATAATGAACAAGTTGTGTTATGGATGAGTACCATTGGGCCTTATCACAATAGACAAGAAACATATGCCTATGATTCTTTACCTTTTTGCAAAGGTCAGAAAGAGGCAATTGATCATTATCATGAGACTTTGTCAGAAGCTCTACAAGGTATTGAACTAAAATTTAGTGGTCTGGATATTGAATTCAAAGGTAATGTATATATTATTTATTTATATAAGTATTTTAAATAGTTGTATAAAACTAATTCTATATTGTTGTATTTTAAACAGTTCCAGTCCCAAAAACAACTGTCTGCACTATTGATTTAACTGAAAATGATATGAAAGCATTCATTTATGCTATTAAAAATCAGTATTGGTACCAAATGTATATTGATAATCTTCCAATATGGGGTAATTATCCAATTATCAGTTGTATCTACTTATACAAAATGTATATAAATACTCAGTTATTGTTTTTACTTTTTATATTAGGAGTTGTTGGTGAATTTGAAGATAATAATGATCATTTATCATACTATTTATTCACTCACAAAAAATTCGACATTGGATACAATGATAAACAAATTGTTGATGTTAATTCAACTACTGACAGCGTTAAAGTTAAATTAACTCCAAATGCACACATAACGTTTACTTATGAAGTTAATTGGAAGAAAAGTAATGTTAAGTTTGAAGATAGATTTGATAAATATTTAGAACCAAAGTTCTTTCAACACAGAGTAAATATTATTATCAATATAAAAGTAATATTATAATATTATATCTAAAATTTTATTAACTTAATTTTTTTTAAAATTAAAGATCCATTGGTTCAGTATTTTCAATAGTTTTATGATGGTTATTTTTCTCGTTGGACTTGTCTCAATGATATTGATGCGTACACTGAGAAAAGACTACGCGAGATACAGTAAAGACGAAGAAATAGATGACATTGAACGAGATTTAGGTGATGAGTATGGTTGGAAACAAGTTCATGGTGATGTATTTCGACCAGCTAGTCATCCCATTTTATTTTCGGCATTAATTGGAGCTGGTTATCAGGTGCGTTATTATTATTGTTGTTGTTATTATTATTATTATTATTATTTACAACATTATAATAAATTTACAGGTGACTGTTGTAGTACTGAGTGTTATAATATTTGCAATACTTGGAGAGCTTTATACTGAACGTGGATCAATGCTTTCAACAGCAATATTTATGTACGCTGCAACATCACCAGTTAATGGTTACGCTGGTGGAGGACTTTATGCGCGTATGGGTGGACGAGTATGGATAAAACAAATGCTGTTAAGTGCATTTATGCTGCCAATTATGGTTTGTGGTACAGCATTTTTTATAAATTTTATCGCCATGTATTATCACGCAAGCCGTGCTATTCCCTTTGGTTCAATGGTAATTAATATTGTTTTTTTTTTTTTTTTTTTTTTTAATTTAAAAATTTTAATAAAATAATTACTGTTATTATTATTATTATTATTATTGTTATTTTAGGTTGCAGTAACATGTATATGCGTATTTGTTATTTTACCATTAACATTAGTTGGAACAATATTGGGGCGCAATCTTGGTGGAACACCAGATGCACCATGCAGAGTTAATGCAGTGCCCCGACCAATTCCTGAAAAAAAATGGTTTATGGAACCTCTGATAATTATTTTACTTGGTGGTATTCTTCCTTTTGGTTCAATATTTATTGAAATGTACTTTATTTTTACTTCATTTTGGGCCTACAAAATATACTACGTTTATGGATTTATGTTATTGGTATTTGTTATTTTAATGATTGTAACTGTTTGTGTAACAATCGTATGCACTTACTTTTTATTAAATGCTGAAGACTACAGATGGTAAGTTCAATTGTTATTATTATTTATTAAAAAATTATTCTTAATAATAATATTTGATTATTTCAGGCAATGGACAAGCTTTCTAGCTGCTGCTTCCACCGCTGGTTACGTCTATATTTATTCATTTTACTACTTTTTCTTTAAAACAAAGTAAGTACATACCAATTATTTTTATTAAAATTATAATAACTAATATGATTATTCATTCAATAATAATTGTTATTTTTTTTCAAAAAAAAAAAAAAAAAAGAATGTATGGACTTTTCCAAACTGCATTCTACTTCAGTTACATGGCGCTCTTCAGCTTAGCTCTTGGTATCATGTGTGGTACAGTTGGATATATTGGTACTAATGCATTTGTTCGTAAAATTTATTCTACTGTTAAAATAGATTAGATTTTAATAATCATTTCTTTTAATTGTTAAAAAAAAAAAAAAAAAAAAAAAAAAAACCACGATCAATTACAAAATTTCTATACGGCATTATCATTATCATCATGATTAACAAAACACACAAATTGTTCTTTGTTTAATTTATATACTTACATCTAATATAATTTTTATGTTAAAATTAATTTTCATAAATTTGTGCAATCGGGAATTGCATAAAAAACATTTACTTTTGTATATGAATGAAAGACGAGACTTAACTTTAACATAATAAAATATAAAAAATAACCTCGATTATATTAACATTTTTTAATAAAATTATCAAGTATGATATGTAAAGTGATTAGTTAGATTTAATAAGTAAAGAAAAATAACTACCAATGTTTTTATTAACTCAATATAAATTTATCATTTACTTCAACGTCTTCTTAAAGAATATTGTGTTCCACAAACAATTAAACACGTAGCCAATGGAGAAAATATAAGTAATGATAAATAATAAATCGTAGAATAATACAATAATATATATGTAAATTTATTATAAAATGCTAAGATAATGATATTGTTAGATTTAAAACAAATAATTATATATATAGTAATGCTACCGTATACTTAAAAATAATAATAATCTAAAACATAATGTATGATAAATGTGTGTAAAATCCAGAAAAAAGTATTAGAATTTTTTTTTTTTAATTCGGTCAATTATATTAAATGATAAATAATTTTAATTTTAATTTTAATTCATCTATATTTATTATTAATAATAAATAGAAAAAAAAAAAAAAAAAAAAAATAGGTAATAGAATAGGTAATTTTTCGTGACATTTCGAATAAAATTTGTTATTTGCGAATACTGCGATTAAATTAGCTATTAATTAATAATAACAAGCTATATGTAAATTAATAAAATATAAATAATTTATATACAGAAATAATTATATTGGTGAAGATAATTTAAAATACCGCTTCCTAATATTTTTTTAGTCTAATTTGTTTAGATGTTATAAATTAAGGAAGATAATTTCAGTATCTGTGATATATATTGAACAAGAGCGACGAGAATAAATATATAAGTATATAGATAATAGTTAAAATGATGAAAAGTTGAAAAGTTTAAAAAGGAAATAAAAAGGATAGAGCAAGCTTGCGCGAACAAATCAATAAACCGGGCGAAACCCCCGGCACGTGGATCGCTTTTACAGCCATCCCCCTTTTATTTATGCTTTCTCCAGCATCCAGCTTCTACTACTACTATTGATGCTACTGGTACTACTGAGAAGGAGGTCCAGTGTTACAACTGTGTTCAACTTATATTTATATACTTTATATCTTAAATCTCATATACTTTATACTTAAAAAATCAGAAGCTGATGGATATGGATATTCAACTGGACGATTCAAGTTATTTTATCTTGTACTATTATTTTTCATAGTACTTGATGGTCTACTACAGTATTGTTTAATATTAAAATTAGGTAGATATAATTATATTTCAAAGTAAAAATATTATTTATAATTAAACTATCAAAATAAAATTAACAGAAAAATTATATGATACAAAAGAAGAAAAATTAAATTTTTTTTTTTTTTTTTTTATTTAATTATTATATTAGTGATTGTTAAGTAATTATAATTACAGAGTTTAAGTTAGACGATATGTACATCGCAGGAACAGCAGGAATAGTAGTTTTTTACAGTACGATTTTAGGAATCAGTATTTGGAGTGTTTTTACTAAAAGAAAAAAATTAAACAGCAAATCTTTTGATTATTTGATACTTGGAAACCGTAATATTGGATTAATTTTAGGAATTTCTACACTCGTTGGTAAGATAAATATAATAATATTAATTTTAATGTTGATGATAAAACGTATAATTGTTTTTAGCAACATGGAGTGGAAGAGTTTTTATCTATGGTACTGTTGAAACAATATTTAGCAAAAATTTAACTTGGTGTCAAGTACCCATTGGCTACAGTTTTAGTCTTCTTTTTGGTAAGTTGTCAATAAAAAATAATTTTATTAAATAATAATAATAATTTATTATATAAATATACAGGCGTAATATTGTTTATTAAACCAATAAGAAATGATAAAAAATTTGTAACGATACTTGATCCTTTTCAACAAGAATACGGCCCACGATTGGGTAGCTTACTTTTTATACCGACATTGTTTAGCGATGTCTTCTGGTGTGCAGCTATAATTAAAGCACTTGCAAGTACTATTACTGTAATTTTTAAAATTGACAGTAATATCAGCATTTCTGTAGGATTAATTGTTGTCATAACGTAAGTCACCTAGCTCTTATAATAACTTGTTAATTATTGTTATATACTTTATATTAATATATATTTTATTTAGTTTTACAATACTTGGAGGAATTTATAAAACTAGTATTGCTGATGCTGTTCAAGTTATTTTTTTGATTATTGGATTGGGAATAGCAACTCCTTATGTGATATTAAATCCAGCTGTGGTATCTTTAGAAAAAAATTTTATTAAAAATAATGATTGGCTTGGCGAGGTTGCTATAGAAGACCTTGCTGATTGGATCGATCGTTTATTGTTGCTTACATTTGGAGGACTATCATGTCAGGTATCAATAATTAGTAATTAATTATTATTATCAAGTTTTTACAATTTATTAATTTTTTTTTTTTTTTTATTAGAGTTATTTTCAGCAAATGATGAGTATAAAAAGTACATCTAACGCTAAAATAGTATCAATTATATCAATGGTACTTTGTTTAGCGTTAACATTACCATCAGTATTAATAGGACTTGCTGCAAGAGAAATAAATTGGTCTTTAATTGATGATAATAATAATAATAATAATAATATCAATAAAACTAATTTAAGAGTTATTAATTCTGATGATACGAATAATGGATCAATTTTACCAATTATTTTAAAATATTTGACACCTCAATGGGTTGGATTTATTAGTTTGGGAGCTATTTCAGCTTCTGTAATCTCCTCTTCTACTTCCAGTATTGTAGCCAGTAGTTTTATATTTGTTAGAAATATATATAAAATAACAATCAGACCCAAGGTACACACTCTATATTTAATATTTAATATATTTATTATGTAATATTTTTTTTTTTTTTTTTTTTTGAATTTTATTTACAGGCTTCTGACAATGAACTTTTGTGGATTTTGAGAATAACTATTGTTCTTATAACTTTAATGTCTGGTGGAATTGTTTTTAGTATTGGCAATGCAAGTGTATACTATTTATCGTAAGTAAAATCTATGATAATATTTTAATTAAACATATATAATTTATAAAATATTTTTTATTATTAAAACAAGATACTTGGCTTCGGACTTGACCTACGTGATACTATTTCCTCAACTACTTTCTGTTATTTATTGGCCATCACTGATCGATACTTACGGATACCTTGCAGGCTATTTAATTTCAATAATTATGAGAATTGCCGGTTTGTTAAATTATTTCATTTCATATTAAAAAAAGTTAAATAATAATAATAATTTAAAATTTATATTATACAGGAGGAGAAAAAAAATTAGGCCTTTGGCCACCATTGATAAATTATCCTTTTTTTGATTATCAAGCTCAAAATCAAAAATTTCCATTTCGCACTCTAACCGTTATATCTTCAATTATAATTCAATTATTTGTCAGTTTTATTACAAAAAGTATATTTACTCAACACAATACTGGTGATAGTAATCAAAAAAAGACATTTTGCCCAAAATCTTGTGATTTTCTCGGTATTTATTCTTTATCTGGTAAAAAAGGATCAAAAAAACAGTCCAGTGTTGCTCAAAGTAGCTCAGGTGCTGCACTAATTCTTGATGATTCTGCTATTCAGACTCAGGTATAATAAAAAATCAGGTTATCATCAAAATACATAATAAAATAATTACATAAATTTATTTTAGGAAAATTCATTGCGTGATGGATGTGACTCAACTGATAGTCAAGAAGAATTAACAGCGACATTAGTTGATAATAATTATCATCATCAGTATAATCAAAACCACAACCAACAACAACTCCATCAAGATTCATCTTTGATATCTAAAAAAATTTTTAAAGAATCGAATAACCCAATAAACTTGAATAATTTTAAAGGTGAACATACACTTCGTCGCGGTATGAGTGTTCAAAACACTCCTGTCACTCGGGTTGATCGTAGTGCTTTTTTAAAAAATTCCACTCAAACACCAGGAAGAAATAATAATAATAATAATAATAATTTAGATTCGGAACAAATTTTAGCTGTAAGAAATTTAATTCCAGTTTCTTGTTATTTAAAAACCACCAATGGATCACCAAATAATATTAATTTATTAAATCACAGTAATAATAATAATAATAATAATAATAATAATAATAATAATAATACATCTGGTGTTACATCAACACCATCTTTTTCTAATCAATCACACAACAATTTAAAATTAAATTCTTCTACTGTGATATATGGAAAATTAGAAAGCATAAAAATCACAAAAGACAAAGAAAATAAATCAAGTGGTGTTATTTCGGGAGGAGATCGAAGCTTTCTAGAGTTAAATCTAAATCATAATTTGAATAATTTAAAAGATAGTAAAGTTGAATCTGGTAGTTGTGTAGGAGGAGCAGTATCATCATCATCATCATCATCATTAATATCTACTGGAATTGTAAAGAAAAATGTTGTTGGTGTGAAACTTGTTGGTATGGATGGAATGACTATGACTACCTTGCGACGTCCCTCTCAAGTACAGTATTTTATTATAACCCTTATAACTTATAACTAATTTGATAATTTAAATTTAATATTACAGAGCACATTTTCGCCAACACCATCTGTTGAATTAGTCAATATTTTAGACAATAAAAAACAATGTGGTGCCGGAGAATCAAGTGTTAGCGGGCCAATATCATTATCACCTATACCAACGTCTACTTTGGGAGTTGAAGCCTGTAAAATTCATGGTACTTCTGTTGATGGCTCAGGTAATGAGCACTGTCGAATAAAACGAGGAATTGTACGACATCACAGGTATGTTAATTTTTTTTTTTATTTATTTATACTATATTGACTGTTAATATTATTATTGTTAATTTTTTAGTTTCAATGAAACTGGTGATCGAACATTAACTACTCTTGCTCGACAACCAGCGTATCCATCAATGCCATTACGTACAGAAGACTGTAGAATTACGGTATTAACGACCAATAGAAAAGACCGAAAAACAAGTGCTAGCCATATAGTTAGATATTCTTCAGTATCTGATGAAAAGGAGCATAGCAATCGTTTTATTGCTGGTTCTACTGGTGTTACTGGTGTTACTGGTGTTACTGGTGTTACTGGAATAGGACATAGACGTGGGCTTGTTATAAGTCCTACTTATGGCATTTACGGATCAACGATCACTCCTACTGACATTAATTATACCACTACTTTTAATTATAACAATACCAATATCAATAACCAAGATGATAATGATAATAACGACGATTATCATGACGACCAAGATAACAATGAGGCAATTAGTAAATTTTAATTATTATTATTATTACTATGCAATATAATATTTATAATTCGATCCCGAAATAGTTTCATTTCGATAAATATCTTTTTTTAATTATTGTTTCGGTATTAAAATATTATATAATACTCTACATCAATTAAAACAACTTTGTACAAAGTATTAATACTTGCTCAATTTTACTGATAAAAACAATATTTATAATCAATGTATATATAATCGAATGGTAGATTTTTTTAATCATCTCTATCATTTCAACAATTAATCCATTATATATATATATATATATCTACAAATACTCATTGTTGTTAAAAAACTTTTGTTTCATATCATCGCATCGTTATTGATGATATTAAATATCTACCATATATAAAAGATTACTTTTAATTTGATGTTATACGCCAAATTAAAATTCAATTAATAATTTTTTGTATCAATTTTATCTAGATTTTTAATTTTTTTAAGTACTTACTAATAATATAAACACAATACGTTTGGGATTCTTTATTATTTATACAATCTAGATTATAGTTATACATCTATGTTTATTCTAAATCAAAAATAAAATTTGTGTGTAAGTGAATTGATAAACGGTAATATTTTGATATAAAAAAAAATATAATGATAATTGGTATTTATGTATTCTGATAAAAACAAAATATTGAGACCAATTATATAATTATGTATTGCAACTAACGAAAAACAAAAAAAAATCGAAAAGTTAAAATTTCTAAGCTATTTCCTACTATTCTAAATTAAAAAAAAAAAAAAAAAAAAAATAAGACATCTGTGACCTGCGCCAGTATTACTAATTACTATTAAAGGATAATAAATAAGAAAAATACTTATGTACATATTTATATACATATATTATGTATATACATTATGTACTGTGTGCTCTAAAATAATCGAACAAAAAAACAACTTAGTACTAAATTATTAATTATTGAATCAAAAGTACTAATAACAATTTTATAATTATTTCAAGTATTATTATAATCAAAAAAATAATTATTAATTTTTTTATCCCTGAATTTTTTAGATAGAAAAAAAAATTTTTTTTTCCGTTAATTTTTTAATCCACGACATTTAGAAATGTAGAAAAAAAAATATAATCTTAGGGCATTATGTAAAGTATAGCATTAATGTAGAAAAAAAGAAAAGAAAATGCTTTTTAGGATTATGTATTTTGTGGACCTACACAGCTTTGTAGAGTATTTAATTTTTATATATAATCATTATAAATTTCAAAAATTATCACAAACGATCAAAATTAAATTGCTATTATAAATTATTTATAATTATATATATCATATAGTATATCAAGACTTTTGATTACTTTAATAAAAAATTTTAAATAATAAATATTATTTACTTGAGATATATGAATTTCAATTGGTAATAATTAATATAAACGATATGGAATATGATTTTGAAAATTATGTGAACTCGGTGTGCCAAAAGTTGTTTCATATACACATTTGCATATAATATTAATATAAAAATAATATTATAGTTTTAACTTAGGATAAGTAATACTACCATACTAGTCATTTCATTAAATGTTAAGTCTAATAAATTTGCATTGATATCAACTGTAATTAATTTTTTTATTAAACAATTTATTGTAGTAGTTTATTATAAAAATTATAAATTTAATTATAATTTACATAATTTTTAAGGCTAACATTACATATATACGACGAAAATAATAATAATAATAATAATAATAATAATAATTTCGTGTTATCATATAATAATATTAAATACTAAAACAGCTAATTATTATGTTGAGTATATTGTATGTACATAGCTCTTTTTTTTTTTTTTCTCTCTGAATCTTTATTTTATTTGATTATTTATATCAAACAACAGCAACATTTACAACTACCATAAAAGATGAAATTAATTGTGGTTGATGTCATATTTTACTATTATTGTTTTTTAATAATAGAAACCAAAATATTATTAATGGAAAAATAATTATATGCTATTGAATCCATAATCAAAAAAATTTTTATCTACTATGATAATAATAATAATTTAATAATACTAGTTTATAAATATTACAGAATAATTATTTGTTTAAATATATGTACAGTCTATACCGAAGACTCTTTGAAATTAATATATAAGTAATTCTACTGTATATGTATAGTAGTTTGTCATATTAGATGTGGAATACACGAATGATTTTTATAATTATTGTATAAATGAAATTTTTTCTGACACAATTCACAAAAATGATAATGATACGTATCTTTATGTTTCTTTAACGCTTCTGGGCCCTGAAAACCCTGTAAAAATGGACATTGTAAACAAAGTAATAAACCATTACCCTGTAAACAAGAATAATGATTCATTCTCATGTGTTGATTTAAATCATCTAATGAATTCGATTGATAACTTATACAAATAGGACAATTATGTGGACAATTAATTGTTGTTGTAGTTGTTGCTGCTGCTGTTATTGGTTTTATTATAATATTGCTAACATTATTTGTATTGTTGACAGGCGTAAATTGTATTTGATTTGATGGCGATTGTGATAATGATTCACCACCAGCTGAAGGTTTAACTTGAGTTTCAGTAGCTACAACAGCAGCAGTCGTAGTTATATTATGTTGAAGAACATGTTGAATTATTTTATTTTTATCCAACGTATCAAATTTACAAAATTTACAACTAAACATTTTTTGTTTTTCATTTGAACTTGCAACAACCGTTAATGATGACGATGACGACGACGATGATGATGATGATGATGATGATGATGAAGAAGAAGATAAAGATGATGATGGTTGTGTTGATAAAGTGTTTATATCATTTGTATTAGTACAGTGAACACTTGATAGATGTTCAACGAGATCTTCTTGTTTTTGACACTGATAACTAAGACATACAGGACATGCCATGATGACAGCAAATGATTTTTGATTATCCTTGTGGATTTTATTACCGGTAGTGTTTGATGATGAATTTCCTTTATTAGAATTTAAATCGGAATTTTTTTCAATTATTGTTGGAATACTACTTACAGTTGTTGTTGTTGTTGTTGAATTAATAGTGGCTGAACTAGTTTTTGGTATTGAAAAATTCATAATCATCGATGTGACTTTTGTTGTAGTTACAGCAGTATTATTATCAGGAACATTAACTGGTAATATTAAAGCAGCTTTCATAGTTGGAATCTGTCCTTTTAGATTTTTAGTTAATGTACTTGTGTGTCCAATCAAATGTTCATTTAATGAGGTTACGTTTTCAAATGCTGCTTTACAATGTTGACAAATAAAATTTTTTACCGCTTGTAACTCTGAAAAATTTTTAACGCGCAAAAATTTTTTCGGTTTATCCAAATAGTTTGTTTCATCCGTAATATCTTCTTCAATATCATAGTTGTTATCTAAAGTTGTCTCTGCTACTGCTGTTGTTGTTGTTGTTGTTGGTGGTGGTGGTGGTGGTGGTGGTGTTTCTTCCATTAAGATAATTTCTTCAATATTATTAGGTTTAGTGTTTTCAATATTATTATAATGCAAATAATTTTGAGTTTTAGTATTTACTGGTGATTGTGAGGGTTTTTTTGATGCTATTTCATTTTTATCATCACAAGTTGTTTTTGTTTTATGACTATTTATTACAGAATTACTATTTTTGTTAAAATTTTTAACAACATTAATAAACTCTACCGAAGGTTGAATTTGTCTTTGATTATTCACGATTAATTCAACATTTTTATTGTATGTAGGTGGTTCTTTTGTTGATATATTATTAAATTTAGTTATCAGTGAGCTATTGTTATTATTATTATTATTATTATTATTATTAGTGATGATTTTAGATAAAGGAGCAAAGTTTAAATTCTCTGTTGAGTCAACAACTGAAGATACAATATTCGAGTTTTGATTATTATTGTTATTGTTTAAAATAAAGTTTGGTACGACTATATTTTCTCTTGTGGCACATTTAGAAATAATTGGAGCAAGTTTTGAAGGTTCTACTACTGAACCTTGATTTAAAAGATTAATTTGTTGATTATTATTATTATTATTATTATTATTATTATTATTATTATTATTTATGACACTGACAGCAGGAGTTAATTTGTTTTTATCATTAGATATTATTATTATTGGTGTTTTTGTTGGTGTTAAAATTTTGGGTAATTTTTGGCATTGACTTTTCATATGATTCTCTAAAATACGTTCAGAAATAAATGGTATTTTACAGTCCGGACATTTAAATTCAGCAATAAAAATATACTTATCGTTTGGTGTCGCATCAATTGGTAATTGTCCTTCTTTTTGTACATATGCTTTTTGAAATGAATACAAACTGGCAATAAACATAGGATCTCGTACATGATTATACCAATGATTGTTAAATATTGTTCCGATACTGCTAAATACAACTTTGCAAATATTACAAACAATGGTAATTGATTTATTAGTATCAATACTGACATGTTCTTCAATATGTTGACGCATATTTGTTAATTCATCAAAAACTATATCACATGTAATACAAAATAATTTAACTAATCTACGACTTCGTCCTCCACTGTTCTCATTACACTTTGGACTAGTTCGATAATGAGTTTCAAAACATTCACCACGTCGGTAAAATATACGGCATATTTCACAAAATAATACCATTTCTATTTGAACATGACACTCATTATTTTTATAATTGTTGTGACAATAACAAATAGTTACTTTAGAATTTGTTTTTTCAGATTCTACCGCTAATGATGATGATGGTAATATTGTTGTTACTATTTTTGTTTGATTTAAAATCGGTAATTGTACGTTGTTATCAAATTTTTGGCAAGATTCGTCAATTAATAGTACATCATCATCATCATCATCGTCATCGTCATCATCATTATTATTTAAATTTTTACTCTCCTGACTATTAGATATTTCTTGAATTTGCTGTTGCTGTTTCTCCTGTTGAGCTAGCACAAATCTCTGTTGTAGCTCACGAGCTGTATGTGTATAAATGTGTTCTGCTAATTCTTCTGTACTGTCAAATATTCTTGAACAAACATTACAATCTAAAGTTTTAGATTTTGGTTCAAGTTTACGCTTTGTTCTTTGACCATTTTTTGACATATTCTTACTAGATTTATCAATTATTTTTTTTGATGTAATATCATTGTGTGATGTCGATGCTAATTGAAATTGAGATTCATTGCTATTGGTAGTGGTGGTCACATCAGTTTTAGTAATAGTACTATTACTTGGTACAATAACAGTAGTAGTAGTAGTAGTAGTAGTAGTAGTAGTAGTAGTAATAGTAGTTGTAGTTGTAGCTGTTGTTATTGTTGTTGCAGCAGCAGCTTTAATATTGGCAGCAGAAGCTGTTTTCAACTGCCATTGCCGTACATGTGGATCATCTATTTCTTCTAAACGTGGTGAAATTATTCTTACTTCTTTAATTAAATGGCAAGATTTATTTAAAGACTTTTTATTGCTATCTGTATCAATATTTTCCAACTGACGATTGACTAGTGTCGGAGATTGTTGTTCTATTGGAACTGGATTTTCATTTTTATTATACATTATTGTATTGTTGGTTGTTGATTCTGAAATTAATTCGTCCTTTTTTTTATACTTCCATCCTGCTGGTACATCTTCTTTATTAATATCATCTTTATTGTCATGTATATCGGATAACGATTCAACAACAATTGAATTTGAGGTAATTGTGGGTAACAAAGTATCATCATCATCATCATTTATCAATTTAAATTCTGGACAAGTGTTAATTTTTTTAAATTCTGTTTGTTGTTGAATTAAAGAATTGTCATCATTTTTATTAATATTACCATTATCCAAATCGATTGAACTTGATGAGTCATCCAACACATGCGATAATAATGATGAATCAAATACTTGACCTATAGAATTATTTGAAATTAATTTTCTCTTTGGTCTCAATAACCGACAATAGTCATTTGGATATGATTCTGATGATGAATTAAATCTTTTACGACCACGACAAGAATAATTTCGTTCAGTTGTTCTTTTTCTCCACTTATTTATTTCAGAAGTTGGTAATTTTATTAATGATACCGAACAAGGTAAACATATTTTCAACAAGTCCTCTTTGTTATTCATTTTTTTTTTTTTTTTTTTTTTTTTTTTTTTTATTGATGTTTGTTGATTAAATTTTTAAAGATTTATCTTGATTCTAAAACAAAACCAAAAATCATTAATATATTTAAAAATAAAAATTATGATATTAATATTTAACAATAATTGATTGTTGTTGTTGTTATGTTTTTGCACGTGTTTTATGACAGTTAATATAAAAAATAAATAAATAATTCGATTTAAACATTAATTGCTCTTTAACTTTGTCATTTTAACATTAATATCAGATGTCAATTAAAACCAGTATAAAATAAAAATAAATTGTATTATTTCAAAATTATTTTGCCTATTTTATCATTATACTTACATTTTTGTTTTCGTTTTTTATTCATTCATATCGATAATGGAGTTGTTGTTGTTATTGTTACCACAATGTATATGTTAATTATTTAAACAATAATTTTTTAACAATAACTTTGTATGTCTATAGTTGTAGAAAGCTGTTATTAACGTTCAATTATTTAAATAAAAATTTTAGACACAGAACCTCAATAATGAGATATTTAAAGTAAAACAATAAGGTTAGAAATTATTCAGACGTAATTATAAACATTTGTATATAATTAAGACATGTTGGTTTATATAGATCTCGGCTCCAAATAAAATTAGTTTGTTTATATTCTATAAAGATAAAAATGGCGAACTGACAAAAATATTAATAAGGTGATAAGTATTTACTTAATAAATATTTATTTATATTTATTTGTATACCTCATACATAGTAAATAATGGGCACGTAAATACTTATACATATAAATGTACAATTAAAATCTACGAGCGCTCTCTTTTGAGATTCCCTGAAAGTACATACTGAAAGTAAAAATGTAAGGATAACACACAGAACGCGCACTGCGCACTTATTATTTTTGTCGATAACTTACAACACACACACAATCTCTAAGTGTTTTTCAATAGAGTCGCCATCTCTTTAGTGTTTTCTGACAAACGATGATATATAACATAGTGTATAGTTTTATTATCTTCTTTTTTATTTAATTTTTCTCTTTCTTTGGCAGTATAGTACATGTACATACCGAAACATACCGAAACGAAATTTAATTCTGATGAAAAATTTGCTCAAACGGTTTTTTCTAATTGCTCTAGTACGTCTAAATAGTTATTTTATATCGTTGCTTTTTCTAATAAATAAATAAATAAATAGAACAACTAAATTGTTAAATAAATTCATTAAAATAAATTAACACCAATAATACTTTTGTTTTTTTATTGAAAATAAATTTATTATAATATAACATCCGTGCACGTGCTCAATCATTAACTGTTAGAGTAACCATTTTGTTATTTTTTAATCGGTTAAACTTTTAAAACCTATAAAATAAAATAAAGTGTCTAATTATATATAAACGCAATGCCACGATCAACAAAAGAGTCATCAGATGATGAAAATGATGCAAAAGCTGGTAGGTTTTTTTTTTTTAAATAAAATTTTTACTTTTTTATTGAAATTAATCTATACATCTAAAATCTGTTTAGCCGGTTTTTTTTTTTTTTTCTTTTTAGTTCCAATTTAATTTTAAGATTAAGATATATCATTATTACTTATGAAAATAAAAATTAATTAATAATTATTAATTAAAACAGGTCGGCGAACAAAAACAATTGGTAGTGTTTTGAATGCCGTTACTGATTCACCACTACGCCGAAGTACAAGAAATAAACCAACAATTTCTCCCTCTGAAACAGCTGGTGATGCCAGCGATGGCTCTTCAATTATTTCGGCAGTTAGTTCAGTACAATCTGGAAGAAACACCCGAAGAAAAACGATAACAACAATACCTGAGTCAACAACTACCTCTGAATCATTACCAACTCGTTCATTACGATCGAGAAAAACTTCAACAACTTCAACGACTTCTTTGGATAGCCTTTCTGTTGATCCTATTGTCGTTATTGCAGACTGTGAATCACAAAAAGACAATGCCAAATCCCGTATTGCTCGAAAAAGTACATCAACAGCAGTTTCTAATGTTGATACACCACCCACTACTCGCTTAAGGTTTTTAAATCATATATTTATTTATTTATTTATTTATTTATCATTTACAATATCATTACTAATAATATTTTAATATTTTAGGCGTCAAATTAGAGCTGGATCAGAGTCGAAAACTATGTCACCTGGTAACGCTGTTAGAACAACTCGGAGAACTAGAGCTAGCTCTGTCGATTTGGATGAGCAACGTGATGAGGTAAAACCAATTATTAATTGTAATGTTAATAATAGTAATCAGCACAGTACTCCTGTTAAAACACGAAAACGAGCTTCTGTTCTTCCATCAGAACCCTCAGTTGTTGAAGAAGTAGAAAATATATCACAAAACAGTCATTTAAAATCATCATCTTCTACATCAATAGTAGAAACAGATGATAATAATGATAATAATGATACTCAACATTTAGTACCGGTTAACATAAATAATGATAGCATAAGTCAACAACAGGAGCAGCTGAAAATAAAATTGGATACATTACAACAAAATATTAATAATTATGAAGTTATTGAAAACAATGAAAACGATGATGATGATGATGATGATGATGATGATAATAATAATAATAATAATAATAATAATAATAATAATAATAATAATGAAGATGATGATGATAATAATAATAATAATAATAACAATAATGATGATGAGGATGTTGATGTAAATGTTGATGATGACAGTCATCAAGGAATTCCTAATCAAACAAAATCATCATTATCACCCGTATTACAACATTATTCGAGTACAGATGAAAGTAAAACATTGGATAAAGAAATGTCAATAATTAATGATTCAGAAAAAATATCATCATCTGTTACAACAGAAATTAAATCACCCATTAAGGATGATGGTAATAGTTCAAATTTTAATCCATTGTCCCCAAAAATATCAACTGTAATTAATCCAAATGTTTCATTAAAATCACCAATTAATGAAACTCAAAATAACAATTTGGATGATGATATCAATGAATCATTGGAAAAAAGTCCATCGGGAAATAAAGAAAATGTAAAACCATTGTCTTCCAATAATAGTTGTAATAATTTTGAATCTATAACATCAGTATCATCAGATATTAAAACAAATAATAATGAATCAATTGATAGTATAGTACTTACAACGTCATCTAATACCACAACTATTGTTTCAACATCAGATGTGGTTGTCAACAGCAATTTTTATATCGATACTACTCAACAATCAAATCATTTAAATTCTTCTCTATCAAAATCAAACAGTCAGCAAAAAAAATGTATTTTAGAGTCAACGGATAAACAAGATTGTAATATTATTAATATATTGTCAAAATCAAGTACAGAAGATGTAATTTTAGTAAAAAATTCACAAATTGAAAAAACTGAAGCACCACCAGCTGTATCAACACCAACGGAAAGACCCATAGATATTACAGATGAATTAGCCAATAAAGATAATACTGATATATCTTTATCGGTTTCATCACCTTCATCACCTTCATCACCTTCATCACCTTCATCACCTTCATCACCTTCATCACTATATATTAAAAATGATAAGGAGCAAAATAATGATCAGATTGATTCTAATAAATCAATTCCATCATCACCGACAGTTGTCTTAGAATCTGATAAAAAAATTAAAATTGATGAGGAATGTAATGTAGAAAATGATAATGAAAATGAAGATATAGAAAGTTTATTCTATGATATTCCTGCTGATGAATGGAGTGATGATATTGAAGTGGCCAAATCTCCAGTAGAAGTTGAAATTAAAAAAGTATTACCTGTTATACCTGAAATACCTAAAATAACTATATCCAAAACTGAAACGAATAATCAACAATCCAATATAGTAAATGATAACAATGATAATGATAAAACCGCTAACCTTGATGTTGATCTTAAAAATAATAGTGATAATAATCAGGAAAATAAAAGACAATCACAAGATATAGATATAGATTGTAACACTGATTCAAATGAAACAATTATCTTAACGCAAAATGATAATCAGACATTGAAATTATATACTGAAAACCAAAATAAATTTACAAAAATTCAAGAATCAATGGATATTAATAACGATGAAGATAATGATACAGAAATAGAATCAGATCTTGGAGAAAATACTAAAAATGTACTTTTATTGGGATCAAATGAAACGAAACAGCAAAAACAACAACATATTAATGATAATGATAATAAATCTGATAATGTTTCATTATCTTCGCCGTTGTTAAATGAAAATAAAAATAATAGCATCAATTTATCAAAAAAAAATTGTTCACCGGACCGTAAAAAAAGTAATAATTCTGATATAACTGGAGAATTATCATTGTCGTCATCGTCATCGCCATCGTCATCAATATTACTTGCTAAAAATAAAAAAAATATTAACATTGAAAGTAAACACTTATTAAGAAAATCATTAGATTCAGCAAAATTAATCATGGATAATGAAAAAGCTAAGACATCAAATAACACTAAAAAACAATTAAATGCCACTATCAATTCAAGATTAAACTTATCAACCAACAGCACTGAACAGCATAATAGCAGCAATATTGAAAATAATTTATCAATTAGTGAATTAGAAATTAAAGATAATGAAGATGAATCATCAATACCATTGATATTGAATGAATCTAATAAACAAAATTCTCCATCAATTTCGTTAAATAGTAAACAACAAGAAGGACCACTTGACCAAAATGATTCATTTTGTTCTGATAACAAATTTAATAAAAATTATGATAAAATTAATTCTGATTCAGATAATAATAATGATGATGATGATGATGATGATGATGATGATGATAAAAATGATGATGAAGACGAAGACGATGATGATAATAATGAAGATGAAGATGATGATGATGATGATAATAAAATCAATAATTACGGTGATAAAAACAATAGTAAAACTAAAATTACTGCTCCATCGGTTCTATTAAATGATGAATCAAGCTCTAATGACTATGATAGCTCTCCAAGTGAAAACGATAATTCGGACATGGATTCCGATGTTGCACGTGAATATAATTTTAATGGAGATAGCGAGTGTGAATATTCGGATGATAATGTCGTTGGAGATGAATGTCGAGATTCTGAAACGGAACACTCCGATGAAGATGATGACGGTCAAGATTTAGCAGATTTTATCGATGATGATGAAGACGACGACGACGACGACGACGACGAAGACGATGATGATGATGATGATGATGATGATGATGATGATGATGGAGAAGATACAAAATCCTCGTTATCCGATGATATTGATACTCCCATCATTGAAGACATAGAAGAAAATGAAGATGATGAAAATCTATATGAAAAAGAAGAAGAAGAAGAAGAAGAAAAAGAAACAGATGTCGATGAAGACGATGATGAAGAAGAAAATTACAAAGATGGTTTGAATAAAGTACAAAAACTTTTGAAATTTGATTCTAATAGTACTTGTAATGATAATTATAATCATAAAGAAGATGATAATTTATTAATAACTCATAATTTATCTTCAAAAGTACTTGATAAATCTTCTCGTAAAAGTATAAATAAATTATCACCTACAAAAGCCAAATCTTGCAACAGTACACCAATAAATATAAAATTAGATTCAAAAGTATCTAAATCTGCTGATACAAAATTAGAAAAACGAAAATATAAAAAAATGATGGAAGATGAATTAAATGATTCAAAAATTAATTCAGTTGAACGTGTAAAAAAATTAAAATCTTCTGTTTCATCATCACAATCACTACATCTTAATAAAAGTATGGAATTATTAAATGTTGTAGATAATGATGCAGTAGTTTTAATGAAAGAAAAATTAAATGAAACACTTCCATCTATTAAATTAGTACAACCCAATGATAATGATCAATCATTGTCTAAAAAAACTCGATCCAAAAATTATGAAAATAATAAAGAAAATGATTTATCAAAAAATAAAAAGAATAAAAATTTAAACATGGAATTAACAACAACAACAACAACAACAACAACAACAACAAATACAAATAAATTTCAAGAAAAAGGAGCTAAAAAGAATAAAATGAATAAAGCATCTTTATTAGAAGCAGATAATGTTAAGGGAGTTAAATTGAAATTAAATAAAAGTGAAAAAAATAAAACAACAGAAAGTAATTTGAATTTGGATAACAATCAGGTTGATAATTATCATGAGTTAACCGATATTGAATCTAAGAAAATTAGTAAGAAAAAAAATAAAGAAAAGAAAGATAATTTATTAAAAGTAAAATCAAATTCTAAAGATACTTTGTCTGTAACCAATTGTTTAAAACGCCTTTCGGATGAAGTTATTGATAAATTGTCTGAAAGTCAGCCGAAAAAGAAAAGAAAATTATCCGCTGTTGCTACCGAAAAAATTTTACCAACAAGAAAAATGTTTGACGCTAAACATCCAAAACCAGACAACATGATTATTGAAACTGAGAATGAATTTATACCATTAAGTTCAAATGGTGGTACTACATCATTTGCGGTTGTTAATATTAATAAGACTTCAAAACATCAAACAAAAAAATCAGCAGCCGCGTTTTCATTTCGCCAACGGATCTTGGGAAGAAATTCCCGCCATCCTATTTCTGCGTATCTAATGTATCAACAAAAACTCAAGGCTTCATCAAGAGATAAATATTAATTTATTAATTATTCTATAAATTAAATATATTAATATTCATTATTAATTTTTTAAAGTAAACAGTAATTTTTTTTTTTCTTTTTAATTATTATTGAATTAACTATGACACTTTATTAAACGATTATGGTGCGTGTAAAGGAATAAAAACCTAAAGTAAAACTTGTAAATTTAATAATATAAACGGGAATAGATTTATATTATTTAATTCTAAGGCTATAATAATAATAATAATAATAATAATAATAATAATTGAGAATAATTCAATAGAAATCATTTTTATTCATTGAAATTATAATTTAATGATATAAAAATATCAAAAATTATTGTCATATTTTCTAAAATATAAACATTCCTTGTTAAAAATTAAATAATTTAATATAATTTTATAATAGTCCTAGCTCCGGCAGTACATATACTATAATTTTATAATAATTATTAAAAAATTTAAGTTTGTATTTAATTTTTACTTGATTTGTGTCACGTTTGTATGTTGTTAAATGTTAATATGTATTTCATTGAGATAATAAGGAAAAATAAAAACATTTTTTATCCTTGAAACAAAATTATTATTTTATTTACATTATCAATTTAATTTATCAATGATGACGAGCATGTAATTTGTGAATAATTAAATAATAAGTTTAATTTTTAATCAAATTGTTTATAAAAAAATTGAAAAGGCTGTCTTCATTAATAAAAATAAATGTTATCATAAAGATTCATCCGGATATGATATAATATTTTGGCATCAATATTATTTTTGAAAATATACTCAGTAATTATTAAACTAATTAATTGTTGAAAAAAAAAAACAAAAAAAAGAAAACATATATAAGTAATAATAAAAAATGATAAAACGTTTCTCATAAATGATATGATTAAAGGTTTTTTATAGTTTGAATCAGATTACTAAGTACTTGAATACAATGAATCAATTATATCGTATCACAAATAACTAACATTTATCGGAATCAATCACTATTGATAATCTACATACTTCTTAATTAAAGATATTGATTATATATATATATATATAATATATAAAAGAAGAAGAAGAATCAATCATCTGTGTGCTTTTGATATTCTGGTCTGTTAAGCAAACTGTTATTAACCATTTGTAACGAATTTATTTTTTATACAATACAGCATGATTCTTTTAAGTAGTAATAATTTTTTTTTTTATTTTCAATCGACAATTATTTTACCAGTTGTTTTTGGTCATGGAATGTTAATGGATCCTGTTAATCGTGGTAGTGCATGGAGATTAGGATTTGATACTCCAGTAAATTACAACGATAATGAAAATTATTGTGGTGGATTTAATGTAAGATTTATTTATTTAATAACACATTATTTTAACAGAAACATGAATAAGATAAATTATTATTATTATTATTATTTTTTCTATTAGGTTCAGTATAATCAAAATAAAGGGCAATGCGGTTTATGTGGCGATGATTATAGATTAAAAACACCTCGGCCAAATGAAAATGGAGGAATTTATGGAACAAAAACGATTGTTAAAACGTAAGTTATTTTATTTTATTTTATTAACACTATTTTTATTATAAAAAAAAAAAAAAATTTAATATTAGGTATAGAGAAGGTCAAGAGATTACTGTAAATGTTACTTTAACGTCGAATCATCGGGGGTATTTTGAATTTTCTCTGTGTCCATTATTGTATCAAACAAATACGAATATCAACAACAATTCATTATCATCATCAATAATAGAATTAGAAGAAACGGAAGAGTGCTTTAAACAAAATCCCATACTAACTGTTGATGGAAAAAATAAATATATTTTATCAAGTTATGAAAACGGCAACTATCAAGTTAAACTTGTTCTTCCTAAAGGTATTATTTGTGATCAATGTTCTTTACGATGGCAGTGGAGGGTCGCTAACAATTGGGGTATTTGTCACGATGGAACTGGTGCTATTGGATGCGGACCCCAAGAAACTTTTAGAACCTGTTCCGATATTCGAATTATTTAATTATTTTAATAATATATACATTTAAAAAATTTATTTATTCAATTAAACATTATTATTTACATATTTAAATTAGATAATATAATTTAAAATTTGTCAAAAGCGCAATAAAAAAAAAAAAATAAAAAACTTGCTATGTTTTATTTGAATAGTAATTATTACATTATACTTAAAAATTAGGTATGGAGAACAGAGTGATATGACGGGAGCAAGGTATATTAATATATCATCAGTAGTTTCTATTCATGGTGAAGAATTTTCCGATTTGTCCCCTTCTCTTGTGGTGATGGTGGTGGTATGGTGGATGGACCTGGTAAGAGTAAGAAAAGAAAAAAAAAAAAAAAAAAAAAAGCAAAAAGAAAAAGGAGATAGAGAAAAGAAGGACGGATAAAGGTAAAGACAGGTAAAAGTACGCTGAAATAACTATACTACAGTCTAAGAGTTTAGCTTCTCTGAGAAACAAGCGGTTTTTTCTCTCCGCGGTACCACGGTTTTCAATTTATAAATCTATATTATAAGCTATATATATATATATATATATATATATATATATATATATATATATAAAATAAAAGGTGAAGTGCCGTTTACTAATCTTATGTACAATTATTAACATTCTTTTAACAGATTTAACTGAAAATTGTTTTTTTATATTAATATTATTTTCCTTATTGTCATGTTTAACAGAATTAAAAATAATTTTTTACAAGTTCACAATAACTATTACAATTGGTTTTAATATATTGAAGGATGAAATTTAATTTATATTTTAAAAGTAAAAAAAAAAATAATAAGAAATAAGAAATAAAAAAAAATCCAGCAAGTGTGATCCTGTGAGCGGAAGAAAAAACCAGGTCATCACGTCATCGCTGTGACAACCGGATACAATAAATAGAAATTCAACCTGGTTAAATTATTATTAATATTATTTAACTTTTATTATAATATAACAACGCAAATAATGTGTTAGGATGAACATCCAAAGAAAATGTATATTGTTATTTATTTTTATAATATCGACGACAATAACAACAGTATTGTGTAAATTTAATAAGCAAAAAAATGAATTTATACAAGATGAAAAAATTGGTAACTTACATCGGCGACGTATTCGAACCATCAATGATGAAACTTCAAATCACTGTAAGTAAAATAATAAATCTATATATATATATATATATCTAAATAATTAATAAATATAATGGAAAGTTGTAACATATATGTATAAAAAAATTTCACCGGGGAAATCGTAATCGAGTCTTATTACCGGTCAATATATATATTAAAATTTATCATCATAAAATTTTAATCTCATTTTTATTTATATTATATACACATTATTATTATACATAACATATAAGAATGAGTAAAGCTGGTAAAACCTTTTCGCAACAATAACAATAATAATAATAATAATAATAAAATACTGAGGTGGTATCCGGATGTACATATTATAATATTATTTGTATCCTTTCTCTTTTTGGGAATTCATTGAATCAGCTGCATCTATGAAATATATATCATCAACCATTGACGTCATATGCATAATTGAAAAAATTATTTAGTGTAGAATATTTACGTCATATAACAAAATATCACATATATTATAAATAGAAATATATTTAAATATAAGCAGTATACTACCATTTAGTTCTGTATATATAAGCTTGACATGATTGAGTGAATGGTATACCTATAAAAAAGTAGGATAAAATACCGTATATACAATTCCAACTGAATGTGTGTATATATATACGTATACATTTATATATGTATTATTATTATTTTATTGTTGTTATATATACAGCTACCATTTAATTTAAATTAAAAAATTTGATAACACATATTATTTTATAAAAAAATAATTATAAACATAATTTTTTTTTTTTTTTTTTTTTTTTTTTTTCAAGCCAATAATGGTCAAGATAAAATTCCTGGAGTTATATCACTTGACGAGATGACACCTTTACAACAGAATAATTTTACCGGAAATAATTTATCCGAAATAACATCAACAACAAATTTAACAGAAAAATTATTAAAACTGAAACAAATTCATTACAACCAAAAAATTAATTATACAATCAATAATAGTAGCAGTATAATATATGATGAAGATTATAAAAAAAATGAAACAGACGATAAAAATAATGGTAATTACTGTTAATAATTTAGATAAATTAATTGACTATAAATTATTATTTTAAATTCCAGCAAAGGATATTATTAATAATTTAAATGGTACATCAACAATATCAATGCCAATTGTTGAAACACTAGTAACAAACTTTTCACGTGCTCGTGCACTTGACATACCATCATCTTCTTTAGAACCAACTAATTCATTAAGTGCCAATTTAACAGATCTAAGCGATGTCAGCATGGATGAAAATGATAAACAAATTGAAGGTAAACGATTTTATTATACATATTTATTATTAATTTATTCTGTAATAAATTAATAAAAATATAATATTATATGATATCCAGGTGGAGAGTATATTTTACATCACAATGAAACTAATTTTAAAATTTCACCAATAATATTTTCAAGAGAACAAAAATGCATTGAACCAAACAATAAAACATATCAGGTTGGCGAAATAATTATCAGAGGATGTACAGAAAAGTGTATTTGTGGTAAAAATGGTACTGTTGATGATTGTCAACCAATTTACTGTGAAAATCCTTTGGTTAAAGCCATTGGTAAAAGTCAAGATCCTTTTTGTCATAAACAAAAAATTCATGATAATGAATGTTGTGCAATTTTAGTTTGTTCTTCTATTAATAACAATAACAACAACAACAACAACAACAACAACTCCAGTATGTGTTATTCTATATGATATAAAATGATATTATTTTTAACTGTTTATATTTAAAAAAATATAAAATTTACTTTTTAATATTTGTTTTAGATTATCAGTCAACAGGTACTTGTTATTTTATTGGTAATGACAACGTTAATAAAACAATTGATATTGGACAGCATATAGAAGACGGTTGTACCAGGATATGTACTTGTGAAACTGGTGGCATATTAAATTGTAAACCCAGATGTCCATTATTAGATGCTAATAATTACAATGACAATGACAATGATGACGATGAAAAAAAGAATAAATCAAATTTACAAAATAGTGACAATAATGACCGATGTGTAAAGCTTGAAGATCCTAGGTAAATATTTTTAATAATAATAATAATAATAATAATAATAATAATAATAATAACAACAACAATCATATTATATATTTGTAACTTTTAAATATTGTTATTAGAGATTCTTGTTGTACTATTACTTACTGCGATGTAAGTATTGGTGAGCACGAGCTAATGGCTTCAACAGACGCTACACTCTCAGCTACAACCATTAAATCATTAAAAAACAAAACTGACGAAATTTTAACAAATACTTATATAAATAATGACCAGATTAAAATTTTAAATTCAACAGCAATAAAAATTTTACTACCAACAGAATTAATAAATATTAACAAAACTATAGTTGAAATATCTAATAATAATCACATATGGAAACGAAAAAATTTTAATAAAGGTATACACAATTTTTTATTATTATTATTAATAAATAAATATTAATCCATACATTATTTATTTCAGAAGGTATAATATCTAATTTAGAACCTTCATCAGTGTACTACATTCGAATAAAAACAGAAGACAAAAACAATAAGACAATATCAACAATTAGTGTAGTGACATTACCACCATCTTCATCATTACCACAAATTAATATACTGAAAAATAAAATTACAAACAATTCAACTACTATAAAAATAGATAGTAAAGATTCATGTAGCTATAGGGGTAAATTATATCAAATTGGTTCCGAATGGTATGATGAATGTATTAATTTTTGTGTTTGCGAAAAAGGCCCAAAAACACAATGCGTCACAATAGAATGTCCCACTGATTTTGGCTTAGATGTTTTAGACCCCAATTGTTTAGACTGGGAAACTGTACCATTTAATTTTGTTCCCAAAGCACCTCAATGTTGTCCCGAAGTAAGTATTATAAATAATATTGTTTATATGTTAAAATTGTAAAAGTAATTTTTTATCTTTTTTTTTTATTTCTTCAGGAAGTAAGATGTCGCAATAATGGATCTTGTAATTACGAAGGTGTAGTTTATGACAATTGGAATGAAATTCCAAATAATATCACTGGTTGCGATAAAAGATGTTATTGTGAAATGGGAAATATTTCGTGTCAGCCAGCATGTCCTCCAGTTCCAGCTCTACCACCCGATACTTTATCATGTTCTTCAAATCAAGCTATACTCACTAAATTACCAGATGATGAGTGTTGCTTACATTGGATTTGCGGCAGCCAAGTCAACAATAACGAAAATTATCATACTTTTATGCCAGGTACCACCAACCTTTTATTTATAAAATTTATTATTTCTCATATAAACGTATTATTAAACAATTTTATTAATTATAAATAAATAAAAAAAAAAAAAAATTGCTTACATTATATATAAACACATGTAGTTTTTTGACAGTGATTTAAAAATAAACTTGTTGTTACAGAAACTAATAGTACGGTATTTGTAGATGACACAGTATCTTCAATTGGTTCCCCAATGAGCGGCAATAATGTTGCGAATGGCATGAAAAAAAATTGGCAATCTTTTATAACTACCGATGAAAGTTATAAAAAAATAAATCAAAATAATAAAACTATACCATTATCAAACTTAACTTCAACAAAAGACATATTTAAAAAGAAAAATAATAACAATAATGATAATAGTCATAATAACTCCGATATTATTGTTAATAATTTTAGTTTTGTCGATAGTACTACAAAACCAATTATATCCAGTTACAATGGCCCTTATAATCCAAATTATAAATTATCTGGATCATCAGCTAACATTGACGTTAACAGTAATAATGACAATAATAATAATAATAATGTCAAAGATAAATTTTTCAAGTCTAAATTAAATGAAGTAAAAAAAATAATTGACCCAACAAAGTCTTCTTATCACAACAATAAAGTTACAACTCAATCATTTCCAGGCCCTTTGGCACCCGATAGACTTCCTTCATCATTGGCATCAAAAGATAATTTTGCTATTACTATTAATCCTATGGTAGTAATTAATAATAGTAATAATATCGATAATAAAACACAATTTGATCAAAATAACGGAGATAAAATTTCTTCTTCAAATAAATTTAATAAAAATAAATTTATCAACATTGATGGTTTTAATAAACAAGTTACAGTGCCATCAACTGGAGATAATTATTCATCACTATTAGAGTCATCTACTAAATCAGAAATACCATCAATACCATCAATAAATTCTGATAAAATAAAATTTGATAAAAATAAATTTTCATCATCAGATAAATTAAATCACTTGACAAATTTTAATTATCCAGAATTATCCCAAAATACAAAACAACATTTTGATACATCACTGTCGTCATCATTACTTCCACAACAACAACAACAACAACAACAAGAAATAAATAAAAATGATAAATTTTTAAAACCGGAAATAAAAGCACAAAAAAATGAAAATGGTGAAATAACCAGCTATCATATTCATACTCCACATATACCAAGCTCACCTCAACAAATTGAGGAATTACTTGCCCATATAACTCAACATGATTCTCATGTTAATTCTTTCCATATTTATCCAACATCATCATCATCATCGCCCTTATCATTACCATCATCATCTTCATCGTCATTGTCATCTCTATTGACGAATTTAAATCATCCGTTTGCTGGCATTGGGGGACCTATTAAATCAGGTTCGTGTTTATATATATTGCAAGTGTTTTCTTTAAATTTAAAATATTATTATATAGTTATACAGGCATAAAAATATATGTACTACATCATATCTTATTATTGTATTAAATAAATTATATATATATTTTTTTTTCTTATTTATAGATTTACCAGACACTTCATCAGGACATATTTACTCTTCTCTCGGTTTTCCATTACACGGTGATGGTGTTGCAGCTAGTGAATATTTAAATAAAGTTTCTGGACAATTATCATCCTCATCATCTAATAATGAAATAATTATAAAATCTTTGGATGCAATTGATGATTCAACAATAAGAATACTATTTACAGTACCATCTGTTCTAGTTGGACTTTTTGGGCGTGTTGAACTACGTTACACAAATGAAATAATGTAATTATTTATTTATCGTTTATTTATAAAAAATTTAATTTAAATAATAATAATATTAAATTGTTATTTTAGGAATTCGGATCTATCAACATGGAAATCACAAATATTTATACCTCCAAATGATTTGATTGCAACACCACAATTGGAATTTGAACTTGATGGTCTAGAACCTTCAACCGAATATAAATTAAAAGTAACTGTTATTCTTCGAAACGATCAAATAAATAATAATAATAATCCAAACAGCAAAATTTATAGTGTTAAAACACTTGATCGTTATACAGATAATAAAGATCTGAAACACACATTGATTAATAAGGGAACAACAGAATCAATAAAAACTATGACTACAGAAATTTCTTCACCACATCAAATTTTCATTGACGCTGGTCTTAAAGTTGTTGAAACAAATTTTAGCTGGATTAAAGTTGAATGGAAGAAATTTACAGAATTTGAAATTAAATTTATCGATGGTATACAATTGAGATACAAAGAATATGATAGCAAAGTTTATACGACAACACCACTAATTCATCGTGCTGTTACAAGTTGGATAATTGAGGGATTAAAACCAGCTACTACATATCAAATTGGTATATCAATTATTCCTTTTCCTGGTCAAACAACTGAACTTTACAGTGAAAAAACGGTATGTAAATTATTATTATTATTATTATTGGAATAATTTTTGTTATTCGTTTAACCGATATTTTTATTTTTAAGATTCAAATTACGACATCTATTGAGCCTGATCCTTATTCTTTTGACGTTAAAGTTGAAATAAAAATGATTAAATCACAGGAAATTGAATTATCATGGAGTGGAGTACCATATCCCGAAGATAAATATGTTAACATATACCGTGCAATTTATCAAAGTGATAGCGGTAAGGGTGATACTAGTACTTTTAAAATAGCTAAAAGAGATTCTCCAGCTAAAACTATAATAAGTGATTTAAAGCCTGGAACAAGATATAGATTGTGGCTTGAAATTTACTTAACTAATGGAAAAATAAAGAAAAGTAATGTTCAAGATTTTATAACTAAGCCAGGTATTGATTTATTACATACCGCAAGCACTGGTAATATTTATCAATCGGGTAAATACGGTATCACTGCCTCAGCAGCAGCAGCTGTGTCAATTCCATCATCACACCAAGAAAATAATCACTATAATAATAATAATCACAATAGCAAAATTATTAATAGCAATCTTAACAACAGTAATGATAATAATAATAATTATTACGGGCCTCTAGTCATTGTTGCTATTGTTGCTTCTCTTGCTATACTCTCAACATTGATATTACTTATGATGCTTATGAAGAGAAGATCAAGTAATAAAGCTGAAATTTCGTCTTCTCGTAAAACAACTGCATCTGCAGCATATGATAATCCATCCTACAAAGTAGAAATACAACAGGAAACTATGGGTAACTATATTAAAACTTTTTTTTTTTTTTTTTTTTTTAATTATTTTGTATCATCATATTCTTTTAAAAATATTAATCATTTATTTTATTTTTATTTTAGATTTGTAAAATTAATTATGCTATACAACGACAGCAAAAAACTATTTTTTTTTATATAATATCACAGCCATTTACAATATAGTATTAACAATAAATGAATAGATAATATATAAATAATGATGTACAACAAAAAAAAAAAAAAATAATCCATACCTGATCATATTAGCTTATCATTGGGATTACGGTGTTTGTGACCACTTCCATTATACATTACACGCAATAGAACTCTGCAATATTGGTGCTAATTTTAATTTAACGGTTAAAATAAATTAGTTCTTGTAGTATGTCATTAGTACAATCAACGAATTATTTTCAAGTAATTAATAACAATAACCAACTGATTTATATATTTATTTATTTATTTTTTTTTGTTATATATATTCATACTTGATAAAATTTACGCTTTTGAATAGAGACACATTGATTATAATTATAAAATATTATAGTATGCAAGTATTTGACTCATCATTATATAAGTTATTTAAAAGTAAATATTAAATTAATTTATAGGAAAAAAAAAGTACTGTACATATATAGATTTAACATGTGCAATATATCAGTACATATACTCATACTGTAATATTATTATATTCAATTACTCAATTTGATATACTCATTAATAATATTTACTTTTATTTTTAGAATTTTTATTATTATATTTATTTATTTTATGATAAAAAGAAAAAAAAAAATAACGAATAAATAAATAAAAATAAGCCATTTTTTATCATTATATATATTTTATATTATTAATAATGTATACATTTTTTATAAAATAAAAAAAAAAAATGATGAAATTATTTTTTTGTAAATAGAGTATTGAATTTTATTAAAAAATTTTTTAAGTTAATAGAAACAATATATAAGTATATACTGTATTGATTATATAAAGTAAATGTGTAAATGTATTCTATAAATCTCTAAAAAATTTTATGAGTCAGTTTAATTGTACGTATTGAAAATTAAAATAATTTTATCAATTCATCTTCGAGATCGAGAGGTTTAGCTGTAGGAGATGAACGAGATACAACTTTTCCTTGTTTATTAATAATAAATTTAGTAAAATTCCATTTAATATCATCAGTGATAAATCCCTTTCCTTGAGTTTTTAACCATTTCCAAAGAGGATGAGCGTCGGGTCCATTTACATTAATTTTTTCAAATATATCAAATTTAACATTAAAACGTTCGGTAGCGAATTTGTAAATTTCTTGAGAAGTTCCTGGTTCTTGACCAGCAAATTGATTTGAAGGAAATGCTAAAATTTCAAGTCCTTTACTTTTTCCATACTTTTCATGTAATTCCACTAATTGTTTGTAATTTATTTCCGTTAAGCCACATTCACTAGCAACATTTATTATTATCAAAACATGTCCACGGTATTTATCTAAAGATACATTTTTTCCATGTATATCCGTTGCGTAAAATTGATATATATTTTCAGCTTTTTCCCAATCTACCTTTTGATTAAATAATGAATCTGATTTTTTTATATCATCATCCATAGGACCATCATTCACCATACAATGTCCATCTTCCCCTTTTTCACAAGAATCAACTTTTGTAATCGTTATTAATAATATTAATAATGACACAGTCATAAATATTCGGCCTAATTAAAAAAAAAAAAAATTTTAAATAGTTATTTATATTAATTTTAATATCTATATGATAAAAAATAAGTCAGTATATTAATTATAAATATATGATATATAAAAACTTACTAAACATATTTGTTGTCAGGAGTATACGGTTCGATACAAAAGATACTGCACGAATGACACTAGTTCTTATAATAAATATACAACAAGATTTCCGCCGTTTATATGAATATCGTCGTCTCTGTTCTCCGCAATCTCCGCAGGTCTACGGGGGCTTGTAATTATTTTTTTTTATTTTTTTTTATTGAGGAAAATAAAATATAATTTTTTTGTTTTTCAACCAGTTTACTGAAAATAAAAGATTAAAGATTATAATAATATTCATGATGACCATCACACTGGAGTGGAGGCTATTGAACTTTTATATATATTTTAAATTCAAGAATATTTATTGTATCCTATTTCTACAATAAAATAATCAAACCGACCTTGAAAAATACTAAATGCGCACATGTACACATTAATTAATAATAAATTTCCGGTATTAAATACGCTGTGTAATATAGCAGTACTCCAACTTCACTATTAATAATAATATATATGAATATTTTAGCTTTACAATAATAATGATCTTAATATCTTTTTAAATTAATAAATAATATTAAAAAACAAAAAGTTAAAGATTATTTATTTTTTTTTTTTTTCAATATATATGTATATAATTGATTTATGTTATTGAAACTTTTATCATATTGTACTTTTCAATAGAAAAAATATCTACTTAATAATTACACATTAAATTTAACAATATATTTTTATTTAACTCTACGACGACTTATATTGCTATACATATATGAATCGAGCAATTGTAATACTATTATAAAAAGAGTACAGAGTATGGAAAAAAAAAAAACGATATTCATGTGAAATAATAAGTGATAAATTTGTGTTGTTTTTTTTTTTTGTTTTTAATTATTTATTCAAAAATAAACTTTATTAATCTAATTATTTTTTTAAAAATCTAATATACCTTTGATTACTTTATATTTATGTATGTATTATATCTATACATACATACTAACTTGAACGGACAAGTACTACCATCATGCAGCGCTATACTATATAATTATTTTCTTTTCGATTACTACGATTCAAATATTGCGCATGAGCAGTATTTTTTTCTTTTTAGAATTTTACGAATTTTATACTTGGTCGTGAGGTTTTTCATCCTATTTCGTCCGGTAAGCGTGCTCTTGTCTCTGTCTCTGTTGTATATATTTAAATAGACTGCACAGAAAACTCGGAGTGCTTCGTTGTTCATTATACATAAATTAATAAATTGGTGTAAGTTATTATCTTTTTAATTCAATTTCACGTAATATTAATAACCTGAAAAATATTTTAATTCATAGATAAATTTAGATGTTGAAATCTGTGTATTTTTTAAGTTTTTAACTTTTTCACGTGCATACTCGTTACATACACAACATTTTTTGGAGGTTAACTAACCAATCTTTCTATATTGATGTTTACGATAATTTATTCTGAATTAAAATATATTTACCTAGCTTTTTAATTTAGTTTTTTTTTTTTTTTTTTAATTGTTACTTTTATTTAAACGGCAATTATTTTGTAGATTAAGTATTTATGTGACATTAATCGCTAAGCATGTAAGTATGACACGTGGGATAGTTATTATTATTATTATTATTATTATTATTATTATTATTATTATTATTATTGGCAAAATGTATTTAATTTAAACAATAAATATCACCTATAAATTTACTCATTAATATCAATAAATAATAATTATAAAACTTTATTTACAGTAAAATATGTCATTTCGTGGACGAGGCGGTGGTGGTAGAGGAGGTGGTGGAGGCAGAGGTGGTGGATTTAGAGGAAATAATCGTGGAGGTGACAGAAATAGAGGGTAAAAAATATCATTATCATTATTATTAATAATAATAATTTTTATTATTATTTAACTAATCAAGTGTTTTGATGTTAATAAAGGTACGATCAAGGTCCACCAGAATCTGTAACATCTTTAGGGCACTTTGAATGGTCAGTCCAGGATGATCTTGTAGCTAAAGTAGATATTGAACAAGTTCCATTTTTTAATGCTCCAATTTACACTGAAAATAAACAACAAATTGGAAAAATTGACGAAATATTTGGCAATATTCGGGATTATTATGTTTCAATAAAACTTTCGGAAAACGTAAAGGCTTCAAGTTTTGAAAAAAATTTTAAGGTAATTATTAATCAATTTAATCAATATTATTAATTTAGCACAAGTAATGTAAATTGTTATTTTTTTGTCTTTTTTTTTTTTTTTTTTAGTTATTTATCGATCCAGCTAAATTACTACCTCTTCAAAGATTTTTACCAAAGCCACCAGGATCAATTGAGAAACGAGGTGGTCGTGGTGGTGGAGGACGAGGAGGTAGAGGTGGTAGTCGCGGTAATAGTCGAGGAGGAAATAGAGGAGGCGGTGGTGCTGGAGGATTTGGTTTTGGTGGTCGTGGCTCTAGAGGTGATTATATTAACAATCATAAATATATTTTACAATTTTCCAATTTGTTTACCGTACTTAAATATTATTATTATTATTATTATTATTATTATAGGCGGCGGTGGAGGTGGATTCCGTGGACGTGGTGGATTTGGGCGAGGTGGAAATAGTCGTGGAGGAAGAGGAGGAGGAGGTGGAGGAGGAAGATGGTGAATAATATTTTTCAACAAAATATTAAAAATTTATTTTTTCATCTGGCTCTTTATTTGAAACAATTGATCGAGTGTATATTTCCTATTAATATAATAACAAAAAATATACAATAATCATCTAATCGTTTTTATACATTTTCACAAGTATAGTATAAATGAAATATGATTTAAATAAATAAAAAAGGAAAAAAAATTTATACCATTTTATTTGAAATATTTAATCATCAAATCTTATATGCTTTCCTAATTCTTTCTCAGCTTTTTTAAGTAATTTATCTCTTCCTCGTTGTTTGATGCGATTTTTTTTACTTATTACAAATTTCTGTTCACGGTCTTTAAACATTTTATCCCAATAATCTTTTTCTTCAACACCCGTTAATATAATCGAAGTTTTATCCTCGCATAATTTTTTTAATAATTTTTCAGTGTTTTTTGGAGTATCACATCGAATATAAACATAGTTGTCACCTTCTCTTACATCAATATACTGAATATCAGTTGGAGTTGTTAAATCAGAGTTAACAGCAGATTTAATTTGATTTTTCAAATTTTTTGGATTTGAACATGGTTCATCTAATTCCATTTTAATAATTAAACCTTCAGCAAAATTAAATTTAGGAGATGAATTTTTATTTTTTGAATCTTGTTCTTCACAAATTACTGTAGTAGCAGCAGCAGTAGTGGTAGTAGTATCCATTTGATTATTAACAGGCGATTGTTTTTCGTTCCATTGATATCTTTTTTTTAAGAGGTGTTGCTTTAGCTGTTTCATTTTATCTCTCTGTGATTGGAGATATTTATTTCTCAATTTTTTCCATTCTTTTTTTGCCATTATACGGAGCCCAAAATCGATAATATCTAATTGTTGCTGCTGTTCCTGTTCCTGTTGTTGTTGTTGCTGCTGTTGCTGCTGCTGCTGCTGCTGCTGCTGTTGCTGTTGCTTTTGTTCCTGTTCCTGCTGATAATGCTCATTATTTTTATTACCTCTATTTTTTCTTTTTCTTTTTTTTTTCTTTTTTTCATCAATATCTTCACTTTCTTTATTAACAATTAGATTGTCAGAAAATTTAACATCTTTCACATCATCTACATTGCAACTATCATTATTGATATTTGATTTTTCGTTTTGATTTTTATTTTTTTCAGTAATCTTGTTCATTGATTCATCAATTTTTATTCTTTTTGGATTTATAATATTATCATCATCATCATCATCATCATCATCATCATTATTATCGTCTTGAGTTGTTTTTTTTGACAATGTGACTGTTGGCGATGATAAAGATTGGTTATTGGAGTCATCAATAATATCTTTATTTGATTTAAATGATTCAAACTCACCATCATTTAGAGTTTTATTAGTAACTTTATTGATAAGTAAGGATGATGAATCCTCAAAGTCGTCTTCTTGAGTATAAGTTGTAATACTTAATATTTCATCAGGTGTTGTATGAGATGGTAATATACAATGTTTATCTTGAAAAGCTTTCAAGCATTTTTCAGTTTCTTCAACATTATCAAACTCAACAAATGCAAATCCTTTCAATTTTTTATTACGTTTATAACGTGGTATAGATACATAGGCTACTGAACCATATTGAGAAAAAATAGTGATAAGCCAATCATGATCTGCATCTGGTGGTAATCCTTGAACATAAATAGTACAATCATCACTATTACTTCGTGGATTAATAGGTGTTTTACGACAAACTTTAGTAGAGTCATCTGATAAAGACAATATTTTTGAAGACTCTAAAGCTTTAGCAATACGATTTGTTTCAGTAGTTAGTGCTCTTATTTTATTGAAATTAATAAATGTTGATAAATCAACATAAGGATCATTTTGAATTAAGTTTGATAAAAAACGATCTTTACTTAAATTAGCATCACTAAAATAAAATTCCATTTGTTTAAGAATAGCAGCATGTAAAGCTTTTTTTCTGGTTCGCGGTTTTCTTTGTCCTGTTTTATTAACTGCTTGTTTTTCTTCTTCTTCGGACATTTTTATAGTATTACTTGTTCTTTTTACAGTATTATTTAATAGTTGTTGTTGTTGTTGTTGCTGTTTTACTTCAACAACTAATGAATCATGGACTCTTGGTACAGGAATACATTCTGACGCTAACCCAATTTCTTGATCTTCCATAACCATTATTATTTTAATCAATGTTGAATAATATTCAATCTATAATATAAAAAAAATATACATTTAGTCAAATTTTTAATATTTCAATCAACAATAATTTATTGTTTATACAAAATAATTATTAATTATTTATATACATACTCTTTTATTCAACGTGATTTCTCTCTACGACACTTAGTACCATATAATATTAAATATTCATAAAATTTAAATGGAATATTTCTATGGATAATAAAAATAATATTATTGTAATTTATTCTCTATTTTTAATACTTTTTATATATTTATATTAAAAACATTATTACTTTTTATCTTATGCTCCGGTACACTACTGTTATTATCATTATCATTATTATTATTATTATTATTATTATTATTATTATTATTATTATTATTATTATTATTATTATTATTATTATTATTATTATTAGAGACCAACTGGATATATCAATGTGAAAAAAGGATTGTATATTGTTCGTAGATTGTAAACCAGCTCTTACATATTAAAGTATAGTAAGTACCTAAATTGTATATGTACATGTTAGTATTTATGTGTGTGTGTGTGTGTGTAATGTAAATACACATTCAATACTTATTAAGAAAAGTAAAGTTGTAAAGTGATAAATACTTAAAATATTACGAATCTTTTAATTCTTTATCTTTTCACCATTTTGTTTAAAATAATTATTGAGTTTAATCTAATATTTATATTTTATTATTTGCATTTTTTTTAAATATGCTATTAATATACTGTTTTAATAACAATAAGAAAAATAATAACCATGTTGATAGAAAGTTTGTTTTTTTTTCTATCCATATGACGTGTTAATAATTTATAATATATTAAATAAATTTGAACAAAAAAAAAAAAATTAATAAGGTAATTTATCATTAAATTTAAAATAAAAGTAAACGTAATGAGACTGTTGAGTAGTTTAAATTAATTAAAATCACTATTGTTCATTGTCTGTCAAGTATGAGCAATACATATCTATATATGTATATATATTTAAATATTTTTTTTTTAGTTAAAAATTTGTAACAATAACTTATAAATCATAGATCTATATAGATGATAAAATAAAAATTTTGTTGTTCTATACATATGGTTTAGTTGTTTTAAATTTTATTATTTTTTTTATTATGAAAAAATATCTGCTGATAAATATATTTATTATATACATATTTTATTTTTTATTGTTATAGAATAAAGCTCCGTGATGCAATGTGTAGAGCAGTGTCATATGAATAACCATTTTAATTAAAAATTCATTGATAAAATTTATTAATATTGAAGTATATAATAATATAGAATAAATGACAGCAATAACAATGGGATCCATAGCTTTGGAAGAGTATGAACTTATGAAAGATGCTAAATATCGAGTGTAAGTTTTAAATATTGATGATGATAATAATAATAATGATGATGATAACAATGAATACCAAATATTAATTTTTTTTTTTATTTTTAGTTATGTGTCAGCGGTGGATAAGGCATTAAAAAATTTTGAATATACGAGTGAATGGGCTGATTTAATATCCGCTTTGGGAAAACTTAATAAAGTTTTATTAAATTATATGAAATTTCCTGTTATACCTCGACGTATAAAAATATCAAAAAGATTAGCACAATGCATGCATCCAGCATTACCATCTGGAGTTCATTTAAAGGCATTAGAAACGTATGATATAATTTTTAAATGTATGGGAACAAATCGACTAAGCCAAGAATTATTTATATATAGTGCAGGTAATATATTACAGTATTACAATTATATAATTGTTTTTAATTAATTAAAATTTTTGTTTAATTTTTTTTTTTTTTTTTTTTTTTTTAATGTAAGGGCTATTTCCTCTTCTTGGTAACGCTGCTATGAATGTTAGACCAACCCTGTTGAAGATTTATGAGACTCACTTTGTACCACTTTGTGAAAGATTAAGACCAGGATTAAGTGGTTTTCTTAGTGGAGTTTTTCCAGGATTAGAAGAAGGATCAGATCATTTTGACAGAACAAATACTTTATTAGAAAAAGTATGTCAAAGTGTTGGCGTTAAACATTTTTATACATGTTTGTGGGATTGCTTAGGCGCTAATTCAAGTATCAGATTGCCTGCTATATTATTCGTTTTATCTCATTTTAATAAAAAATTATCAATGCTAGAACAGCCTCATATTATGGGAACAAATATAAATATAATGATATCCTCATTAATTGCTGGAATACAAGATAATTCAGTACTTGTCCAACGAAGTATACTAGATCTTTTATTAATGGGATTTCCATTACATTGTTGCAGTAAAAATGATAATAATAACATTAATTATGAAAATGATTATGATGATGATAATGAACATGGTAATAATATTAAAAAGTTATTACTTAAACATAATGACATGGTATCATTACTTACGGCTTCTTTAACAACTTTATTAAGAAGAGATATGAGTTTAAATCGACGATTATTTTCATGGTTACTTGGTACGGAAATTAAAAATAATGAACAAAGTGAAATAAAATCAACAATTACAATAGCTAGCGATAATAAACTTACCACATCATCAACAGGAATAACTATTAAAATAGGAGCAACTGATAACGCAATTACTGTAGTTGATCAATCAACATATTTTGATTTATATTCTAAAGATTTATTGATTGAAGCACTGAGATCAATAATGAAAAGTGTATGTTGTGACAGTGAAGAAGAATCACCAACAATAAAGTTATCATTGGACGTTAAACCATATAAAATATTAGTCTCATTATTAGATAAATCTGAAATTGGTCCGTTAATATTAGATGATATTTTATATGATGTCTTTCGTACATTTTATAATAGTATTATGATAAAACAAAAAATTTCAATAGATACTAAACGTTTAATAACAAAATCTTCTCACCATCAAGAAATAATAAAATCAGCAAATTTATTATTTTCAAGTCAATTAGAACCGGCTTATGTATGGCGATATTGTGGACAATTGATTGAAAAAGTATGTATAATTTATGAAAATGAATATCAACAGCAGAAACAAAAAAAACAAGATGATAATAATAATAATAATAATAATAAAGTACAATCAATTGGAAGTGGTTTACCAAATTTAATGGAATTGTGTATTTTAATAGAATTTTTACTTGATAATGTTGACACTACTTTTTTTGGTGATGTACCTTCTGATCATTTACCAGAGCTTTTTTATAAAATTATAAATCAATTATTGGAGCGATTATATATTTTTAAACCAATTGAAATAACTCAAAGTCTTGTACTTTGTAGTAAAATTTTATCTAAAATTCAACCTATGATAATTGCAGAAGGTGGAGGAGGAAGAGGAAGAAAAGCAAGAGAAGAAAAAGAAGAAAAAAAATTAACAAATTCTCAACAAAATAAACAAAATAAATCTAAAACTGTTATTAATAATAATGAACCTAATAACAAACTATTAAATTTATCTGTATCAACAAATAATTCACTTAGTGATTGTTATAAACCAAATTCTAATTCAACTAATTCAAACAGTGTATTTACATCACTTGAAAAAAGTTTGTCTGACAGTAAATTATATCAAACTATTAAATTATCAATTATTGATGATAATTTATTGTTACCATTAAAAAGAACTAGAGCTGATTCTGGTGGTTTGTTGAAAAAAAATGATAAAAATATAATTAAAAAAAAATCTAGCAAAAGCACATCAAAAATAAATGATGGTTTATTATTGGATAATAATACAGAACCAGTTATTGATGATGATTCATTTATTGAATTTAATTCTAAAAAATTACTGTCATTGTCGTCATCAACATCGTCATCGTCATCGTCATCGTCATCGTCGTCGTCGTCGTCATCGTCATCGTCATCGTCATCGTCTTCTGCATCGTCGTCAATAAAAAAAGAAACGCTACAATCACACAATTATTGCTGTTCATCAGTGCTAAGCAAGTGTCTAAACAAATATAAATCATTTTACGTTAAATTGATAAGTGATAAAATTTTATTATCTCAATTGAAATCTCATAAAACTATATTAAATATATTTAAAACTCTTGAAAAAACAGTAAACAAAAAAAATAGTGAAACAAGTTTAGAGTCAATACTTAATTATCATCTATTACAAGATAAAGTTGATAAATTAAATTCAGTTTCATATAATAAAAATAATAGTGATTCATTACCTGAAACAATGACATCGTACTTGAATTTTTTAAAGAATTTTAATCAAGTAACAGTAAATACGACAATGGTTGATTTGAAATGGAAACAAGTTTTACAAGTTGCTTCTAAATTACTAGTTGAATTATCGACTTTTTCAATATGTTTTCAAGATTCTGATAATAATAATAACAGTAAAAATAATAATAATAATAATAATAATAATAATGATGATGTTAGTAATTATGAATATGATGATCATGATGAAAATAATTATAGTATAAAATTAAAAGATATAGAAACTAAAACTCCAATTAATTCAGTAATAATACCAGATTGGCTTCAAGTACTGGTGATATGTTGTTGTTGGTTAAGTAATGAACCATCACTTCAGCTTACAAGTATTACAACTTTAATAGATTTATTGGCATTAACTTATAACAATAATTTTTCATCATCTAATCCAATTAATTCAAGCAATATTGCTGCTACAACTGCTACTGCTACTGTGAATAATAATAGTAGTACCAACACTACAACTTGTGTTACAAAAGTTATAATAGTTCCTTTATTAAAAAAATGGCATATTAATTATTTGCTTGATAATACAAATGTTTTTCAAATTTTATCATATTCATTGTGGCAACATCTTGATAAACTTGCACCATATAAATATCATGCACAGTGTGTTGAATTATTATATGAATTACATTATCTATTATATCAGTATCAGTCATGTGATATTGTTGAAGATATTATTGGATTAACATTAGCTGAAACAAATTCTGACTATGATAATGGTGATGATAATGATAATGATAAACAAGAAAGACAAGTTGAAATTTTCAATCGATTTGCTACTCTTTGGCATCTTGGACGAGACATTCGTATTAATAATTCAATAATTATGAAAATAGGATCTAATAAATCATCTATATCATCATCGTCCTCGTCATCAATACCGTCATCACTGTCATCGTTACCGTTATTATCGTTTAATAAATCATTATTAAAAATACTAGACAATCTTCAATTACAAGATAATTCTCCATTAAAATTACACGCTCAATCATGGCTTCATCATTCACTTATACGTGGTGATATAGCTCGAATAGTAGATCCAGTACTTTTAATGTTACTCGATTCATCTACTTGTCGTATGAGTGTACTTTATGTAAATATTCAACATAGTAATACAATATTATCGATAACTAAAAGCAATAATGATAATAATAATATTAATCAACAAAGTACGAGATCGACATTATTATCTACTAAAAAAACAACTGTTAATAAAACAATAGATGATGATGATTATAATGAAATTGATAATGGTGATGATGATATAACTGCTGACGCTGCTAAAATATATGCTATTAGTTCTGTAGATGGTAATGTTATTTATCATGTAAGTAACAGTATTAGTAATAATAACATAATAGATAAAACTAATAAGAAAAAATTACAATCCAATAATTATCAATATCGACAAACAGGACAACATCAAAATAAACAATTAATAACAAATCCAGTAAATGTTAAACGGATTTTTGCAGTAACAACACTAGTTACTACAAATTCTTCAAGTAGTAGTGGTCAACATAAACAACAACAATATATTACGAAAAAAAATAAATTTATTAAAGAGTTAAAAGTACCTCCAAGTATATCAAATAATCATCATATTTCATTATTTGTTAATCCAATGACAAATATTAAAAATTCATCAATAAAAAAAGTCATTTCCGATGATAACGTCAAAAAAAATTGTGAAGATAATGACGATGACGATGATGATGATGATGATGATGATGATGATAATGATAATAGCGATGATAATGATGATGATGATGATGATGATGATGAAGAAGATGATAACAATAATGTTGATGATGATTATGATGATGATAACAGTGAAAGAGAGGAGGAAAATGAAGAAGATTATGAAAACAATAGTAAAATTGTGATAAATAATAAAAATAATATTAAAACTACAATGAGAATAAGAAAATCAAATTTAAAAAGAACATCATTTGATAATGGTGACATTGATTGTGATGAAAAAATTGACAAAAATATTGTCGATAGTGTATCATTTAAAAGTTCTAATGATAATAATATTAGTGGTACTAGCTTTGATGAACGTATACTCAAGTCAACAACATTAACTAATAAAAGTAATAATAATTTACAAAATGAATCAAAAAAATTGATAAAATGTTCATCTTTGGATTCAATTGAAAAGAATAATATGATTAGTACGCCTTCGATATTAAATAAAGAATTTAAAAAAGGGTCAAATTCACATATTACACCAATAAAAAATAATAATTTTTCACGGCAAGTAGTAGCAGGAGATACACTTTTAAAAGGAAAGTACATTAGTAATAATGAATTTACTTCGATTTATCCCACAACAACAACAACAACAACAAGTGAATCAATGTCGTCATCCATACAATCAAATACTAACATTTCTGGTTGGGTTATAGGTAAAAATAATAATCATGATAATGATGATGACAAAAACAATAAAGGTAATGAATTAAATCTTTGTTTAACTGCTGAAGAGTATTTTGATAAAAATAATTCCAGTATTATTGTTGAACAAGTCTTGAATGAACTTATAGACAATGTATCAGAAATTTGTAATAATAGTGCTGACAGAATAGAAGATAATACTACTAATCTATATGAAAATTATAAAAAAAAATCAATTATAAATGAAATAAAATTAAAACCTAAAAATTTTGATAAAATTAAAAGAAAAACAGCAGCAGCAGCAGAAGTAACAACAACAATAACAACAACAACAACAACAACAACAGCTGCTGCTGCAGCAACAGCAGCTGCAGTAGCAGCAATAAAACGTAGTAATAATAAGAATAAAAATGATTCTGGAGTTCACAATTTACATTCTCATATGCTTCTTTATTGTGGTGTTTATGATTCTATGCAAACGCTTTATGCATTAAAAACTCTAAAAGCACAATTAACTACTAATACTCGAATGTTTTTATTTGCTGCAGCAACAACTGGAATTTCAAATAGCAATAATCTATTAACTTTATTAGCCAGACACCGAAAAAGTGTTCTTGGAACAAATTTTTATGGAGATATTAGTTGTACGAAATTTATTGCTACATATAGGAGTAGTATGTATTTAGAAGTATTAATAACGGTATGTTTATATTTTATGCGTAGTTATTATCCTAATCTTGGACAAATGAGATTAACAGCTGAAGAAATAGCTGGAAATCGTCAGGTACAATTGACAAGTGCTGAACTCCTTACACTTATATTATCTGAATTAATTACAATAGTACGAGATTCTGGACGAAGTTTTAGCTGTTTTATTATTGACTTGATGGCTAAATGTAAATTACAAAAAATTATTCTCTTTTGTCTTGTATCCAGTGTATTAAATATGAAATATGTAGCATCAACTCAATCAAAAAAAAATCAATCAGAAAATCTTACCTTTACTGAAGAAATTGTACTGTTTAACGATCCACCACCATCACAACAAACACATCAGCAGCAGCAGCAGCAGCAGCAGCAACAACAACAACAACAACAACAACAACAACAACAACAACAACAACAACAACAACAACAACAACAACAACAACAACAACAACAACAACAATCATCATCATCATCACAACACCAAAACTATCATTATCAACAATACAAAAAAGTAATTCCTAATAAGTGTAAATTTCGAACAAGTAATCATACTGAAGCTTATCAAACACAGTTGTTAAAATTGATATTAGCTACAATAATGTTGGAACATCAATGTAATTCTACCAGTGGTAGTTACAATAATAATAGTAATAATAGCTGTAACTCTACAACACAACAAAAAGGTGGAGGTGGAGGTGTTGATGACGATCTAACAACATCAACTTTAGGATCATCTGCTACTATGAATTTTAACACTACAAGTTTTTTTTTGACTACATCTAGTGATAATATGGAATATATTTCTGGTACACCGATTCCTCAACAACCAATATTTCAAAAAAGTATTATAAGTGTATTAAAGTTGAATCATATGCGACATCTTCATCAACACTGGACAACTCTTGTTACATCAAGTCTCCCATATATGGGATATAGTGGATTTTTAACTCAATTAATAACATCTGTAATCAATCAATTGTGTTGTAATATTGAAGGATTGGCATATTATTATAATGATGTTACTAAAAATATTCAAGTAAATTGTAGTAATATTAATAATAATATTCATTATTATGAAAATGATAATGATTACGATAGTGAAAAATTCGATTGTTGTTTACCAGTTGATTATACCATTACACAATTAGAAGCATTAACTTTTTTACTTCACTATTGTTTACTTGATAATTCAGCTGCTACACAACAACAAATTAATTTTAATCAACCATTTGGTGGATACGGTATAAGTGGTAATATTGGATCTATTTACAACAGCAATAATATATTTAATTTTAATAACAGTAATCAAATATTTACAAATCTCATCAATGTTTTTTCGCCTGCAACTTTATCTACCGATTCAACTGAAACAAAAACAACAGCAATTAATTCAATATTATCACCGTCATTATCAACAACAACAACAACAACAACAACAATAACTACACCAATACCAATGACAATGACCAACAACAGTAATAATAACAACTATAATGGCAGTAACAATAGTAATGTTACCAATAATGTCAATAATAATGTTAATAATAATAATAATAATAATAATTTCGTAATGAATATTAATGAACAAAATATTGTTAAAAAGGCAGTATTAAGTCATTTACCAAGAATCATAGCCTCATTATCTACACTTTGGCAGTCAGTGTTGGTAGCAACAATAGAAAAAACATCAAAAATTACAATCGCAACATCATCAACAACAACAACAACAATGAAAACGAATAATAATATTAATGACAGTAATAATACTAATAATAATAATAATAATAATAATAATAGTAATAATAAACAACAAATATCTAATTTTTTTGGTGATGAATTTAAAAGTATAATAATTGGCAATCCTCGTGTTGTTGTTTATCAACTTTTAGAACTGATATCGCCAATAGCTTTTAATCACGGGGTAAATTTTCTTGCTGCAGTTGCAGTTGCATGGCATGAAAGAAGATCTACTACTACTACTACTACTACTACTACTAATAATAATAATAATAATGATAATACTGATGACAAAATAATAAATGATAAAAATTGTAATAATGGATTTTTGTCATTAGGAATAAAAAAAATATTACCAGAAGCTTGTATTAATCAGCAAATAATTGTTGATTTAGTTGGTGCTATACGTGTAATGCCAATCGATACATTGATAAAAACAGTTAATCAAGTAATAAAAAATCCACCAATAATAAATGGTGTGAAGAAAAATTTTTCATTACAAGTATCGGTTCTTGAATTATTATATGTATATATAAAACAAACAAATATTACCGCCCAATCGTTAGTTGAATGTTGGAGCGCTCTTTTAGGGCTTTTACGTGATAGTCTTTCGACATTGTCAATAACAACATCAACGTCTTCATCAAATTTAACTCAACTACCAGCACCAGCACAATTTCTATTATTAGCTATTTTAAATGAATACGTTCAACGATGTAGTATGTCTTCAACAACACCTTCTATTATGCAAGAGAAAAAAGATATAAGAGACCTTCAAGATATAACAACAAAACTTGTTGAATCTTGTTCAACAATAGCTGGTGCTTGTTTAGAACAAACAACTTGGTTGAGAAGAAATTTGGCTGTAAGAGAGGATGTATTAATGTCACCAGTTTCAGTATCTGAAAATAAATCAACATCCTCATCATTATCATCTTCAACACGCCCACCGCCACCACCGCCACTACCACCACCACTAATAACTACAACAACAACAACAACAACAACAATAACACCGCCACCAAATTCAGCTTACAGTGTTCAAGCACAAATAGTATTAGCTGAAATATTAGCGCCACTTTTAGATATTGTGTATGGTGCTGTTGATAATAAGGAACGTGTTATAACATTATTGACAAATTTGATGTACAATATTACTCCATATTTACGTAATCACACGATAAAAAATATTCCATCATTTATTGCTTGTTCACAATTAATAAGTTCATTATCAGGTTATCAGTATACACGAAAATCTTGGCGTAAAGATGTTTTAGATTTATTGTTAGATTCATCATTTTTTCAAATGCCCGTTGAATGTATATCATATTGGAAAATAATTGTTGATAATTTAATGACACATGATACCACTACATTTCGTGATTTAATGAATCGAATATCATCAAGTATATCACAAAGCAGTGGTATAAGTTTATTTTCATCACGAGAACAAGAGTATGAGCAAAGAGCACAATTATTAAAACGATTAGCATTTGTAATTTTATGTAGTGAACAAGACCAATATCATAAATATATACCAGATATACAAGAACGACTTGCAGATAGTCTTAGATTACCTCAAGTTATTCCAACAATTCAAGCTCAAGTATTTTTATGCTTTCGTGTACTTTTAATACGTATGTCACCTCAACATACAACATCATTATGGCCAGTTATTGTAAGCGAGCTAGTACAAGTATTCCTATATATTGAACAAGAACTTGGTAGCGGTACTGACACCGAAGAATTCAGGTAAAAATATTTATTAATCTATATAATTATAATTGTGCTTTTTTTAATAATAATAACAAAAAAAAAAAAAAAAATAAATCATAATTAAACAAAATGATTTTAAATTTAGAATATTTTCATCATATTTAATCCCGTCACATTATGTAAATTATATCTTTTATCAACTTTTAATGTGTAAAATCATTTTGTTTAGTGAGGAAATAAATAATCAAAATAATCGTGTTTGTACATAAATAAAACAAAAAAATAATATTAAAAAAATACGTCAATATTTTTTAGAGATAATATTACTAATTAGAAATATATAATTAAATTTATTGATAACGTGTTGTTTTATTTTTTTTCTTTATCATTTTTGATGCTTTTGGTATTTGGGAATTATGTGTTGCGTTGATGAAGCCGCTGTAGCAGGTAAAAATAATTATAAAAATAATAATAAAATAAAATTAATAACTTGAAAATTATAGATTAAAATAAAAACAACATTAATAAAAATTTCAGTTCTCATATTAAACTTTTATCAGCGTTGGATTCTTCATGGACAGTTAATGCCAACAATGGATTGCTATTGGGTCATGGACACCCTCATTGGTTACAACTACAACTGGCAGCAGCTAAATTATTAGATTTAGCTTTACTTTTACCAGCGCATAAGCTGCCTCAATTTCAAATGTAAGTTTTAATTATAATAATAATAATGATAATGATAATAAAACTAATAATATATTTTTATATATTATCCAGGTATCGATGGGCTTTTGTCGGCGATGTCAATAATGATAAAACGAAATATCCTAACAACGATATCATGTTAAATCACGATTTTGTTCCTCATATATTAAGAATTGCAAAAATTATGAATAAAAAGGTAATAATTAATATAACTTGAAACAAAAAATGATTTTTTAATTAAAATAAATTAATACTTAATATATTTTAGTTTTCGTCAAATCAGCATTCATCACAGGAAGAAAAAATTTTAGTACCAGGAAAACTTATATTGACAACAAATAAAATCAATTCCTTAGAAGATTTGCACTATTTTTTTACTGTTTTAAGTGAAAAATCTAATACCGATAATCGATTAGATACACCAGTTAATATTGTGGATTTAGAATCAGTAATTGAACAGGATTTCCTTGAAACAATGTCATTATCATCATTGTCAACTTCTTAATAGTAAATTTATTTATATAATTAATATATTTTATACAGTTTCTTTTTAAGTTTTTAGTGATGAAAAAAAAAAAAGAGGAAATAGATATTATTTAATCATCAAATTGAAAAGAAAAATGTTGACATGAAAGTAAAAAAGTACTTGTATGTATAAGTTGAAAAACAAATATTAATGTTGAAAAACCAGTGTTAAACTTGTATATAATAATATGTACATGAGTTTATTAAATATAAATTAAATAAAACGTTTATTCTCGTATAAGATGAATAATAAAATAAGTAGATGCAATAAATCATCAATACATACATTATTGAATCACATTAATCGTATGTGCCCGTCTCCTCATACGGTTGTAACTTGAAATAATCCTATGAACATTTTATAAATAACAATAAAAATATGTAAATTGATTATATTTATATGTAAATTTGTAAAATAAATAATAAATTAAGCATATAATGATTCAGTCAATTACAAACTACGTAATTAATTTACTTAATTATTACGAAAAAAATTGTTTGTAAATTATATGTTATTATAATAAAAACTTACAACATGGAATAAACTATTGAAATAACATAATTTTCTTCACGTCCCAAGTAACATGTCCATGAGCAAGATTTTGGTGCCAGCGTCTTGAGCATGGAGACTACATATCTAGTTTCCATGGGAAAATCGACCATTTTCCAGGTGAAAGTTACCATTGTAAAACATATTCGAGGCGATCTAATTTTTAATAATACACTAAGGGTGTGCGAATATCGTTCGAATCGAATCGAATCGAATATTGATATTCGAACGGAATAATTTGAATTTTCGAATTAATCAACATTCGACGAATAATTCAAAAGAATTCGAATAATTCGAATTTTTTCGAATTGTTCGTCGAATTTCGAATAATTCAAAAATTCAAATTATTCGATTCGGAACGAATAATTTGTAAGTTCGAATTATTCGCACACCCCTATAATACACGGTATACTCCAGGATTTCCAGAAATAACTTTGTATTGACATAGAAGACGTAGATATTTGAGTACATATTGATAGGTTTGTGAGTTATTATTTTAACTTTATCGCGCTCTGGTCGTGATCCAGTGCTCATATCACTGGTTTTTACATTTTTCCACGTTATTTTAACCATATCTAAGTTTAAAAATTGAAAGAAGAAGGGTAAGGGGTCGTAGGGATGCTCAGGTCACAGATTTGGTCGTGTTCCAGTGCTCATATATAGGCACCCTTGTAAAACATTCCAATCGACTTAAATCGTAAGATTAAATATATATTTCTAATTTTCTCAGATGAATCACTGTCCTTACATACTTTGAGCAAATTTATATGCTCAGCCTGATGGAAATGTAAATTATTTCGAGTTATGGTCACGTATGGAGCAAAAATCGACCATTTTTTAGGTAAAAGGCACCCTTATAAAACATTCCAATCGACTTAAATCGTGAGATTGAATATCTATTTCCAATTTTTCTACAGGAATCACTTTATAAATGTACTTTACGCGAATTTCGATGATAATACTGATGGAATTGCGAATTGCGGGTTATACTCATTATAATCTAGACTATATTCATCATAATCCGGTTCATACTCATTATAATCCAGGATTATAATAATTACACTCTGGGATTATACCCATTATAATCTGGACTATAATCATTATAATCTAAGATTGTACTCATTATAATTTTGTATTATAAC